CTGGGGGCGATGAGTTCCACCAAAGCTCCTGGCAGGGGGACCAGAGACTTGAACCCCCAGGAAGGGCTGCTGGGGGCGGGGGGCAGCAAGCAGGGATTAAACACAACTGCATTGCTTCCGGCTGTTAGGAAGAATGGGACAGCCGTTCAAAGTAGGAAAGGATGGGAAGGAAGGCTGTTTAGGATTGACGGAGGCCCGGATGGTCAATCTGGAGTATAAGCATATTGGAGGTCCAGAAAGAGAATGTTTCCATGTCTCCTTGCGTTAATGTGACCTCCTTTTTGTCGTTTAAACTCTTAGCTGGATGCTGACAAATATGAGAATGATCCAGAATTAGAAAAGATCCGAAAAGAGAGAAACTACTCCTGGATGGACATAATAACCATATGCAAAGATAAACTGCCAAATTACGAAGAAAAGGTAAAGGAGCGCTAAGTTATTTGAGAAGGGGAATCGTTATATTTACTACCTCTGCACGGAGTTTGTTTCATGTCTTCATTTGGGTTTTATATCAGAACAATGCATATTTGAATGTTATTATTATAAAATGTTAGGGGGATAAAGACCGACTAGAAGACACAAAAGTAGATTTCATTTATTGAGACGGTGAATGCCTTCCTCAGATTTTCACGTGGCCTCTGAGCTTCCATGTGATCAGCATGACTGCCATGTGCGACGTGATCACGATTGTGTGCATGTGATCATCGTGACTGCTGTGTGTGATCACGTGGTTGTGTGTGTGTGATCACGTGGTTGTGTGCGCGCGCGTGATCAGTGACTGCCGTGTGCGACGTGATCACGATTGTGTGCATGTGATCATCGTGACTGCCGTGTGTGATCACCGTTGTGTGTGTGATCAGCGCAACTGCTGTGCGCAGTGTGATCATGATTGTGTGCATGTAATCATCGTGACTGCTGTGTGTGATTATGTGATTGTGTGTGTATGATCAGCGTGACTGCCATGTGCAGTGGGTTATGAGCAGGAGCCAGAATATCTGTGGGAGTCTTAAGTCTACACATCCAAGCTGTGTGATGTTGGGTCAGTGACCTGGCCTCTCTGTGCCACACTTCCCTCATCTGTCAAATGGGGCTGACAGATGGCACCCAGGTGAGTTATTACACGTAAACGATTAAGAACGTTGCCTGGCACATGGTACCAGGTGCTAATTCTGTTTTACCGCTAGTTTGCTGATAGGTTTCATACTCTATTCTAGCTCCCACCCGCTTGTACTTATTGTAATCGTCCTTACGTTTGTGGGAAGAATTTCCATCCACCTCGGTTATGGTCTTTGAAGTCTCGGCCAGTGGCTGGGTCCATGTCAGTTCGCACACTTGGTCTCCAGCCAGACTCACAGGCTCGCCTCCTCCTCTAGATTAAAATGTTTTACGAGGAGCATTTGCACTTGGACGAAGAGATCCGCTACATCTTGGACGGCAGTGGGTACTTCGACGTGAGGGATGCAGAGGACAGATGGGTCCGGATTTCCATGGAGAAGGGGGACATGATCACGCTCCCTGCGGGCATCTACCACCGCTTCACGCTGGATGAACAGGTGGGTCGGCGTGTGATGGTCACGTCTGCTCTGTGCTTAGGTATCGGAGGATAAAATGGGATGGAACAGTTAAGACGTGAGAATTCAAAAGAGCCAAGCAAGGTACCTTGGTAGCTGGTCTGGCGCAATGTTGGATGTCTTTGTGTATCTTCTAGAACTACGTGAAGGCCATGCGGCTGTTTGTGGGAGACCCAGTGTGGACAGCATACAACCGGCCAGCTGACCACTTCGAGGCTCGAGGGCAGTACGTGGAGTTTTTGGCGCAGACAGCAGCATAGCGGGGTTCCCTGGGACCCACACCCGCCTTCATCCCTGTGAGGGTCCTGAGATGACAGCAGAAAATCTGTCGTGTTCTTGCTTTTATGTTGTAGACCTTAGGGTGGGTGAGCTTTCCTTTGCGAGATTATTTGATCAGAATGTTTTAATGAAAGGAGCTATAACACTGATTTTTGCATGGAAGTAACTGTGGAAATGTGGACACGTCCTTTTTCTCTAATTCAAGGTCAGTATTCCGTAGCCCTGTCTTAGCACATGCATCCCACTGGAACCAGATGACTTTCACCTCCCCAGGGGTAACTGCACAGCCGCCCCATCCAGACCCGATTCTGCGGCTTTAAGCAGGTTTTGGTCAAGGCCACGCCTGGCTTTCAGGTGTAAGAGTAGATGACAGGGCTGGCTGGGTGCCACACACTCTTCTCCCAAAACATGCGGAGTGGAGAGGAAGGGGTGAGCTTACATTGGGGGGCAATCCCGTTGCTTATACCACTTTCTTAACATAAACTAGCTGCCTTAATTTTAGCTCATGGCTTGGAGTTACCTTACATTCAGGTACACCTGGCTCATTAAAATCACCCCATTTACATTCTTTGTGTGATTGTATATGTGTGTAATTAATTTATATCTTATCTGTGTTCATCTTTGTTCAGTGTGAGATTTTTAGGTTAAACTCCCTACTGTATATCTTGTTACAATCAAGCTTTTGAATCTTAACAAGAAAATGGTGCATTATTTTCTTAATAATTCTGAGATGTAGTTATGCCTAATTTGTAATAATCATAGAAAAGCCCTAAATCAACGTCATGCTTTAAGGGCAGGTTATTTTAAGGGTTTCTAAAAACTGGTCTATGGGCCGGCCGAGTGGCGCGTTGGTTAAGAGTTGGCTTGGGACGCCAGCTCTGAGCAGCAGGGCTCCGGTTCAGATCCCACATATGAGGGCCAGTGACACTGCCCTCTACAGCTAAGATGGTGAACAACAGCTCGACCTGGAGCTGGGCTGCTGTGAGTTACCGGCAACGGCGTAGGGTGCAGTGGGGCTTCAGTGGGGCTGCCAAAAGCTACCATGTGTGGCCAGCAGCCGGCGAGAGCTGCCATGAGCCACCGTGAGTGGCCGTCCAGTGGCCGGCAACCAATCTGCCTCACCTGGGAAGAGTGCAATGATAATACCAACGTGGGCCAGTCCTAGACTGAAGAACAAAAGGACAGCAATTTGTCTGTTCCACTCCCCTAATTTCCCAATAAAATCTTTTTAAAAAACTGGTGTAAAAACTTTGTGTTAAAATTTCCCTTTCAAACTTCCACATGACTCTTGGGATGCGCGTCCATTGCGCAGTGGAAGCTCAAGCCGTAGACATCTTGGCTGACTTTGAATTTTAGGGTTCAAGTGTGTGCAGGTGGCAGAAGACTTGGTCTACTCCCCATGGCCTCCGATCCAGTGAAATGACAAAGATTTTTTTTTTATATTAAGTGCAGTGGTTTAAAATGCATCTTCTACCCAATGATGGAGCCTGGTTGTCCCCTTGAGTGTGGGCTGGACTTGGCGACTCGTTTCTAATGGCTAAGATGTGGCAGAGGTGACTGTGACAGCTGTGGTTTCCTGCTTGCTCTCCAGGGTCACTTACGGGAGGCCACCGCCATGTCAGGACACCGGCCGCCCCACCCTGCCCACTGAGGGGAGCAGCCCCTCCAACTTCAGTGGCGCCTTCAGCTGATGTGGCTGCTCTCCCGAGGAGCCCAGCCAAGCACGCCGATTCCCGACTCAGAGGTTGTCGGCGACAATACACTTAGAGCCTGCAAACAGTGTCCTCAGTCACTAGCTTTTGGGGCAATTCTGTTGTACAGCAGTGATAGTGGATGGGTGAAGTAAAATCCCTAAGTGTCCCCCTCCACCCAGAAAGGTGCCACCTGGGGAGCAGCTGTGAGAAACAGAAGCAAATGGGTCCAGCCTGTGGGGAAACAAACCAGGTGCAGCTGCTTTCCGTGCAGGCAGCAGACGTCTGCCCGGGAGGCGGGTACAGGCGGTGGCAGCAGGGAAGGGGGTTCTTGTCCCCCCGGCTGCGGGCACCTTCAGGACACACTGTCTGCCCTGGCACCGGGCTCATGCAGCAAGCCTGAGTGGGGAAGAGGATGAGGGGAAGAGGGTCCTTTTCTGTCCCAGTGTGTACACAGATGGTGACAGTCACAGGGGTCCCTGCATCCAACAGGCTTCACCCTCCAGCTGGTCTCGTCCTATCCTGGGGTCCTGACTGGTCTCTTCTGTTGTCTCAGGTGGGGCTCTTTGCTGTGAGTGACGGAGATCCGTGTGAAGAAAGCTCAGGTGACGACAGGAGCACATTTGGGTGACAGGCAAGAGTGTCATCTTGTCTCTTCTGCGAGGTGGCCTTATTCTGTGTTGCAAATCGGACGCCTTCTCACGGCGGGGACACTGGATTGTGTGGAGCCTGACTTGTCACCCCACTACCGGGGAGGGGCGGCGCTCTCTGCCCAGCTCTGGTCCCCATGCTCCAGGGAGGGGTCTGTGTGACTCCACCTGGGTCGGGAGCTCCGGTGAGGGGGACAAGGCCAGAGAGCAGTCATGGCTGCGAGGGGCTACCCCCGAGCATCGGAGTGGCTATGGTGTCATCCATAGCTGTCCCCATGTGCCTCCAGGTCCTGCTGGCCTGAGGTGGGGACAGCTGTGGAATTCCACCACCATGATTTCTAGATTGGAGTGGCAGGGAAGTCCTAAGCGTCATCCCCGGGGAAGGAGACCACCTGTCATTGCTTTGTCAGAGGGGCTGTCTGTCTCCTCTGAAGCCCTGGGGAGAATGGCTTTCGGACAGTCCGGGGAGGCGTGGGACAGTCCGGCTCAGAGGGACAGGTCCGCCTTCACAGTGTCTGTGGGGCGAGGCTCCTGCACTTGGTGGGAAGGGCCAGCTCAGGATGGCATGTGAACTGGGGGTGCAGCCCCTCACAACGGGTCGCAGCATGGCTGATGGCTTCGACTGGGGAGGGGCCAGCTGCTCCTGGTGTCCAGTGCCATCCTGACTGGCCAGCTCCCACGTCCCAGGTGGCATGGGCAGCTGACCGTGCCTTCTCAGTTCTGGAGGCACAAGTCTGACGGCAGGAGGCCAGCGTGGGCGCATGCTGGTGAGGATGGACTTCCTGGCGTGCGGACGGCACTGTCTCCGTCCTCTCACAGGGCAGAGGCACAGCGAGCTCTGGCGTCCCATCGTCACGGCTCATTTAACCTCATCACCCCAAAGGCCCAGCTCCTAACACCCGCCCGCTGGGCCTGACTGCAGCGTGTGGATCTGGGGGACACATCCAGTCCCCAGCGCGCTGATAGCAGACGCTGAGCACCCCTTTGGAAAACCGAAAGTTGAGCTCTGTCTGTGCTGGTAGCACTGCTGGCCACCCCAGCTCTCCCCCGGCCGCCCAACAGCCCAGAACAGCCCTCGGGTGACCAGGGGGCTTCCTTCCGGACACCGCAGGGCAGGGCGAGCCTCACTCTTCCTTGACAGGCCCCGCCCATCCGTGCTGTCAGGGCCCCGAATCCTGTCGACAGTGTGGGACAGTTGTCCATCTTGGAAAAGGTTGCAGTGTGTGCATGTGAGCGTGTGTGTACACGCACGTGCACCCCGGCCCTGGACCAGGATGCAGGAAACGCCCCAGCCAGCCATCCTACTCTGCCTGGCTGGGCCCCGAGGAGGGCAGAGCAGGAGCCTGGGGGCCGGTGGGGACGAGGGGACAGGGGCCTGCAGAGCAGATGCCCTGGGAGCAGGCGCCCTTCTCTGCGTTTGTTTCCTGCTGGAAGTTACTGTTTTCCGCAGCATCTCTTCCCTGCGGGGGGGTCAGGACCCTGGAGCCACCAGGCAGGCCGCCGCCGCCCAGGTCAGTGTCGGGGGCTGTGAGTGGGGACCTGGCGCTGGGGCCTTGGTTTCCCTCCTGGGAACAGGTGTGCTTTGGGGGAGCCGCCACTAGGACCTCCTGTGCCCCCTTGTCAGTACACTTCAGTGTCTAATTACCTGTGTTAAAAACGCTTGATTGTTTTGCACAAACTTCTGAAACCCAAGTAGGATCTCATGTGGGTGCTAAAGCCGCCTGCAAAAGACGTGGTAACATCAATACAAGTTGCTTTCGTGCCCACGTCCCCAGGCCTGCCCCATCCTTAAAGCCCTGATGCTCTCTGGTGGGGGGGGGGGACTCTGCTGGCACCAGACGGTATTGATCGCCCTGCAGAAGGACATGGGGTGGTGGGCAAGGGCACAGGGTGACGGGCACACCCTCAGCAGGGCAGGGCCTCGGGCCGATGGACACATCTTGGCATTAATGCTGGTGGCTCGGAGCTGAGGGGAGGCTCGGCTCAGCACATGGAAAGCACAGGGGCTTGTGCCCTCGGATGTGAAACGTCTGCTTTGGTCCACACGTGCCTGCCACCCAGCAGGGATGGCGGGTGAGCAGTGATGACAACATTCATGGCAGCTGGGTCTCAGCGTGGGGCCTCGTTTGGAAGCGGGGTCTGCAGATGTGGGCAGTAAGGGTGTGAGCTCATCCTGGATGGGGAGGCTGAGTCCGAGGCTGCTGTCCTTGGACAGGAGACGGAGGGAGTGGCCACGGGACGGCAGGGGCTGCAGGGACGCTGACCACCTACCTGAGGCTGGGGGAGGCGTGGAACCCTGCTCCCCCAGGGCCCCTGGAAGGCACAGGCCTGCCCACACTGGCCCGACCCCTGGGCTCCTGCGGTGAGCAGAAGGATCTCTGGTTTGCAGCCCCGTCTTCTTTGCTAGGACAAAGCAGGATACAGTCTGGCTTCCATTTTCAAAAGAGAGTGCAGGGTTTGGACGGTCAGCTCCCCACCCGAGATGACCCAGCAGGTGGGGGCAGGGCACCTGGCCCCTCTGTCCCCATCCCTGAGGCCTGGCTGTCCCCAGTGGCGGGGAGGGGATGGTGGGGGCACGAGGTGGCGCAGAGTGGCACAGGGCACGGGCACAGGCTCAGCACACATGCATCCAGGCCGCCCCTCCTCACCTCTGAGGCTGACCACGCGATGTCCCTGCTGTCCCCAGCATGGTGGGGGAGGACAGGGCCGTTACCACTCTAACCCTGTGCCCGTGACTGAGCAGATGTGCCCTCTGCAGGGCCCAGGACAGCAGTGCACGCGGAGGGGCCACGCTCCCCGCACTCCTAGAGCGTCTAGGAGCCCCTGTTCCTGGGCAAGTGAGAACTTGGGGAAGGGGGGGCGGGGATGGTTTCCGCCACAGCTGAGGGCCAGAAGCAGGGCGTGTCTCCGGGGGGGGGGCACCTCCGCTACCAGAAAACTGGCTCCGGGGTCTTGCTTCTCTGCCCGGGGCTGTAGGCACGCACCCTCAGCTTCGCTTTTGCCTGGATTTTTCACCTGGACTCTGTATCCGGTGACGTAAGTGGAGCGAGCGTCAGAGTCCCTGACTGCCACCTCTCCCTGGACCTGCTCGTTTGCTGTGTCTAAATGCTCCTGTGTCGGGGACCCGGGCAGACTTCCCTGGGTGGCCCGTCCTCAGGACACCCGACCACTGTGGCCGGGCGGCTCCCGCGGCTTCAGCTCCTGTCCCTCCGGTCCCTGAGGACTGCTGAGGGCCCAGGAGGACGGGCTGGTCTGAGTGTCCCTGTGCCATCACACACTCATCTTTCCTGGCGCGGCTGCCTGGCCGGGGCCCCCGGACGGCAGGGTTGGCCTTGTCCTCTGTGCACATACCCCTGGTGTCTGCGGGGGGCTCCTTGTGAGGCCCCCCATGGTGCATCAGGGCCCATGCTTCTGCTTCCAGTCCTCATCAGCCCCTTACAGACCCCTCTCCAAATACAGCCACACTGCGGATTAGGGCTGCAACCTATGCATGGGGGTTGAGGGGAGGGACACTGGGGAACAGCTTTCGGGCGCAGGAAGCTGGCTGGACAGGGTGGGGACAGATGGTGCAGGAGCCATCGGGGCAACGGGGTCAGCCTCACGGGCTTGTGGCCCCACTCTAGAGTGGGAACCCGTGGATGGCTGGGACACGGGGCACCGTGTGTGTGCCCCGTGGGGACAAGCCAGTGAAGAAGCTGTGACAACCCTCTATCTTCCTAATAGGAGGGAGGCAGGTTCAGAGAAGCCCAGCTGCTCCACCAAGGCCCCAGGATTCAGGGTGGCAGACGCCACGTTTTCAGTGCCTCTGCTTCGGTGTCACACTGGAGAGGATGTGACATCGTGCTGTAACTATGGGGGCACTTGCTATGGCCAGGTTTTCTTCCAGAAGACAGTTAGCAAACAGCCCAGGGGCCCGAGGCAGACGGTGGCCTGTTTCCGAATGTCCTGCAAGCTCAGAATGGTTTTTATAGCCTTAAACAGCTGGGAAACAAACACAAGCCAAAGCAGATACGACCGAGATGGCACACGGCCGCAAAGCCTGAGGACTTACCATCTGGCTCGTCACAGGGAACGCTTGCTGGCCGCCCTCCTAGGATGCAGTGAGCAAAGTGGGGGCCGGCGGTGGGGGAGGGGGAGCTGTGATCACAGGCTTGTCCTCCATCATGTCCCGTCTGTGGGGAGAGGGGACTTCGGAGCATGGGTGTCACCTCCTGCAGGGCGACCCCACAGGACTTCACAGAGGTGCCCACGAAGACATGCAGGGCTCACACAGGCAGAGGGCCAGCCCCGGGGCAGGCGCGGCTGCGGTGGCAGGCGGTTCTTTAGTCCAGTAGCAAGGCGTCCTGGGCCTCCTGTTAACGGCTCGCTGAGTGTGTGAAGTTACAGACATAGTTCTAAACATAGTCACCCCATAACATGTTTGAGTTCTGTGCCCCCTGAAAAAACAGAACATGCTGAAGTAGCATTCCTGCAGGTCGGACAAGTCCGAGTTGGTCGCTTTCCCTGTAACCATCAGGCCAAGACACGTGAGAAAGCGGATGGCTCCTGAATGGGCAAGAGACACTTCATTATCAGGATTATAATAATGGTTGGTAAGAATCATCTCATGGCTTTTTAACGGGCAGATCTTTACAGACGCCCAGCGGGGACTGGGGAGGAGCATGGCTGGGCTTCCCGGGGCGTCTGGAATTCCCTGAGTGCTGCTAGGAGCACGTGCTCGAGGCCCCACCCGGGAGCCGTGTTTCTTTTTATTCAAGAGGTGTTTGGCGACTGAAGGTGGATGTGCCACGGCTGGAGCTGGGTCTGCCCTTCAGAGGCTCTGGGGCTCCCTGGAGATGCAGACACTGACAGATGTTCGTTCTATACAGAGGAGGCAGCTCTGGGAGACACAGCAGCCCAGAGCGACTCACTGGAGAGGGTGCAGTCTGAGCCCGGCTCAGGACTGCAAGAAATGGCCACACTTCTATTCTTTAATAGAATTAAATCCATTTTTTAAAAAAGATTTTTATTGGGGAATTGGGGGATGGGAACAGCGCTGGGAAATTGGGGGAAGGGGAACAGACAAGTTGCTGTCCTTTTGTTCTTCAGTCTAGTTGTGGAGGGCGTTGCTTCACTGGCCCAAGTTGGCACCATCATTATGCTCTTCCCAGGGGAGGCAGATCAGTCGCCAGCTTCTGGACGGCCGCTCACGCTGGCTGCCGGCTACACACGGTAACCCATGGCAACCCACTGCCACAGGGGCTGCAGCCTATGCCATCGCCGGCGACTCACGGCAGCCCAGCTCCAGGTTGAGCTGTTGTTCAGCATCTTAGCTGTGGAGGGCAGTGTCACTGGCCCTCATATGTGGGATCCGAACCGGGGCCCTCTGGCGTCCCAAGCCAGTTCTTAACCATCGCGCCACTCGGCCGGCCCTTAAATCCATTTTTGGCCCCTTCCTTCTGAACTTGACTGTTCCTGGACCCCCAGCCTGCACAGGGTGAGACCAGAATCCCAGGCTCAGGTGTGGCCTGGAGAACGTTCGGTGGCTCTGAGGCCAGCACATCCTAGTGGCCCTGGCACACTGTCTGACCATGCGGTGCCTATGAGCTCCCAGGGCCAGAAACCCTGGTGGCCTGGCTCCCACTGTCCAGGCCCGAGACTGTCCCAGGCAGGACGTCCTGGGTCCCACGCCATCCCTGAGCTGGGTGGTTCCTGGTCAGAGCAGGATCTGCAGTGCTTTGTCCCTGCCGGCCGGCAGTGGCCTTCCCAGCATCACCTGTGTGTGTCCCCAAAGCCAAGCGGGGCCAGGGCCACCTCAGGGCCTAGGCTGCGGGGTCGGGTGTGCGGGAGACGTCAGCAGAACAAGAGCTGTCCGGCCGCACATCTGGGGATGCAAACCCCAGTTCCCTGGGGAACCCTGAGTCCTGTCTCCAGTTTGCCGGGCTCCGTCCCGGAAGCCTGTGTGGCATCTGCTTTTATGCACAATGACGGGGGACCATTCTCAACCACTGACCTGGAAACGCAGGTTCAGGACACAGACCCCTCTGTGGCCACGTGCCAGGTTCAAGCTGGAGGTTGAGTCCTGTCCAGCCACCAAAGCCAGATCTGAAGGAAAACCTTGTGACGGGGAATTCAAATGACATCATCAGATTTTCGGGGCGACAAAACAAGTTTTTATTTTTCTCTCCTTGGAGAGGTTTTAGAACCTTCTCAGTACCCCACAGTCCTGTGGCCGTCTAATCTTCTCCTCCTGTTTTAACGTGTAATTAATTTGTATTTCCGCAACTGTGCTGAGGCCGTCTGCCCGATATATGTTGGTGGTTTTGCTTTTTTACTTTATTACCAACATGAACAGAAACACAGCTTCGCTTTACTTCTGCACTAGACGTTCAGATCACGTCTGAACTGAGATCTAACCTGGACCAGAAGAGCGGCAACCGGGAGGAGCCTGGCTGTTCCCGGCCCCCGGCCTTTCTCGGGAGGGAAGGCGTTTTCGGGTGTGCAGGTTTTGTAAGAGCAGGAACAAGTCCCGACATTCAGGCTGGAAGGAGGACGTAGCTGCCACTAGCCTGCCGGCCGCACCTTCGCTTCTGCTGTTCACTGACGCCCGAAACGCCCCCACGCCCCTGTGATGCACAGAACACGGGACGTGACGGTGGCCCGCGCCCATCGCCCAGCTGCGAAGGAGCCGGATGGGTCAAACAGGCGCATTCAGTGCTGGGGGTGGGGGGGGGAGGAGTGCGAGGCGCCCCGTTTGGCGCCTGTCCCCGTGTTGACAAACGCACCAGGCGCTCGGACAGGGCAGGACGGTCACGTCTCGCTCTTCTCGGGGGACGTCCCACTCCCAGGAACAAGGAGAAGGGACAGTGCGTCCCGTGGATCTCTCCGTCCACGATGCCGCCCTTCCTCACTGCCCGGAGTTCAACAAACTGCCGAGTGGCGTGGCCCGGCCCGATCGCGGACCTGGCCAGCTACGTTCCCGTGCTCGCCACAGGGCACGGTCCCCGGGCGCGGGCGCGGGGCCTAGGCCAGCTTGAGGCACTGCGTGTTGAAGCTGTCCCCCTCCTTGCTGGCCACCGCCTCGAGCAGGGCCTGCTTCTTCTGCGCGCTCCGCGACGACTCCAGCTCGTACATGGTGGTCAGGTTGAAGAGCACGCTCTCGTGCAGGCAGCGCCCGGGGTCCTGCTGCACCATGGCCTCCAGCTGCCGCAGCGAGTCCTTGAGGCGGCCCAGGTACAGCAGGCACACGGCCGCGTTGTTGTTGGCCTGGAGGAGAGGACGCTGTCAGCGGGCACGGCTGCCAGCTGCCCGCTCGCGCCCGCCGCACGGCTGCGGCTCTGTGCCCAGGGCTGTGCAGGGCCGGAAGCCCCCACCCCCACCCCACCGCCAGGGCCAGTGGGCCTGGGCACCGCCGCTGGGGGCTGTCACATGCTGCACCATCTTACCACTGCATTTGTTGGTTCAATCTTTAAAATTTCTGTGAAGAACCTGTGGGCTTCTGCAAAGTTATTCTGGCCGAGGTGAAGGAAAGCTCTGGAACAGAAGTGACATGTTAGCGATCAGCCAGCAAAGGGCGAGATGCTGGTGTGCCCGCCGGACGGGCAGGGTGGCTCCCCAAACTGCACAGGCGCGACGGGCGACTGCTTCCCCAAACGCAGCTCCGAGCAGGTTGGGGGCCACACTCTCCAGGTGGAGCAGGAGGCAGCCCGGGGACCGAACCCCGTCAGGCACTCTGGCCGGAAGTTAAAGCAGGCCTGCCTGTTCTTAACAGACGTCGCAACTGCGCCCAAATCCCTGCCTGCTGCACAGCCTGGTCCCACCTCAGCTCTCCCTCCCGCTCCTGAGTCCCCGGCGGCCCCAGCCCGGTGAACACGGGCTGCGCGCTGCCACAGGCCGCCTCCCTCATAAAAGCCAAACCGACACAGGGCGGGAGTGAACGTCTCTGCAAACTTCTGCTGGAAATGGGGGCAGTACGCACAGGAGGTGGAAAATGAAGGGGAGAAATCTTAGATTTCACGGCTAGAGGAACGTGACTGCAGCTCAGGGAATGCCATGCTCTCCTCGGGGCCGCGGGGGTTGTTTTGGTTCCGCGCGACTCGGGCAGGAGGGGGACAAGGACGAGCCAGCCCTGGACCGTCACTCCTCAGGGAGTTTACGCTCTTTTGGGAAATCTAAGAAATATCTGATTTTAAAACACATACCTGTTCATTAAAACCACTATTTTCCCCTGCAGGCCATCTGATTTCTGGGTTACTTTCTCCACATCTTGAAAATACTTTTCAGCTGTTTTTATGTCTCCAATCTGCTTTGACAAAATGTAGTCAGTTCAAGAGACAGGCCCACATCCAACACATAGTTCCCCACTGTCACGTCAGGGCATGGGGACACGTGGTAACCATTTACTAATTACTTTTTGTAAAAAACAAAAGCAAGAGACATTTTGGACACAGTGGGCGACATCTCCACCTCAGAAAGCCTTGTGAACACATGTGCCATTAAAAGTCCATCGTCACCCTGGACTTTGAAAGGAATCCTGGCATAGCGGCATAGCATCAGGTAGAACAACAATAAAATGAATGACTAAAAAACCATAACATTTATGGATTTGTATAACATGGCAGGCCCCCAACCAGTTAAATGATAGAGACCATCAAACTTACAATTTTCTAAGTCATATTTTGTCCAATACTAGACTTCTACTGAAAAGAAGGAAAGGCACAGCCCACTTTTACCAAACACACGAGGAAGCCTGCCAGCACCCTAAATAAGGGAGCCCAGACCCACTGGGACTGCCGATGGCCAACGTGTCCCTGTGCCGCCGTTGCCCGAGAGCCACGTGGCGTTTGGTGAGGAAGCCGGTTTCTGCCTCCAAAGCACAGGGACTGGAACCAACGACCGAAGGCTTATGAGAGACACGGCAGCTAAAAGAGACTCCTGTGAGGACAGGCGCTTCCACAGAAGGGGACGGGGACCCCAATGCCTGTGTCCCAGGGCTAGCGTAACAAAACGCAGGTCTGAGTGGTGCCTGTTCCAGAACAGCCAGGGCCCTACGACACACTGTCCTCTGTCCACATCACAAATAATTGCGTGAGAACCAAACGGGCTGGGTTTGTGCTACCTGCACGCTAGCCCGCGGACGCGAGCGGAAGAACAGCTCATGGAGCAGCGCCAGCTAACGCCCTGCCGGGGCCGACAAACCCTGACCCACAGCTTCTCCAGCCACCGCTGGGCGACGCCGGGACTGGGCCTCATGCTCCTGCTCGTCCCCGGGCAGAGGCCCCGCCTGCCCTCTGTCCCCCACCACCCTTCCACGGGAGCTGGAGCCTGTCCCTCCGGAGCCAAGGGCAGGCGAGCTAACTGCCCAGCAGCAAAGATTTGCGTTCCCGAAGGTCAGGGTTCCTCTCCAGCAGTGTGGCCACTGCAGCTGGGTGCCCTGGCACCGCCCCAAGGAAACTGGGCTCGGTGTTTGGTGACAGAAGTGACCGGAAGTCTGATGACGTGGAAGTCTCATGTCTTTTGCCAGTGTCCATGAAACTGGCAGCTAACTTCACAGGGTACAAGGGGGGCAGTGTCAGACCCTTCCCAGTGGCTGACGGCACCCCACAAACATGAGGAGCAGGAAAAACAAACAAAATGCATAAACGACACCCCCACCCGGCATCTGTCCAGCATGGTCCTTCCTGCAGCACACAGGAAGTCCCCTCTGCGGACTTGGACTCGCTGACGAGACACTCAGGTCAAAGGCAATTAAAAGTATTGCAGGATATCTATTGGGTTGTCGGAAAAGTCTTGACGTTATTTTTTCTATGTTTTTCATTGCAAAAATGCATCATGACTTTTCCGACAACCCAATAGTAAGTCAGCAAATAAATAAATCCAAACTAGTTATTTGAAGAAAACAGATAAGTGGATGAACTAATCAAGAAAAAGCAGCATACATAAACCAAATTATAAACCTAAAAGGAGAAAAAACTACAGCAGAAATGAAATTGAAGGAATTATGAAAGAGGACAGTATTTCACAAAACTTGATGGACCACGTAGGTGACCTAGGACACTCTACCAACACTGATCCCGGAACCAGACAAAAACACTGCAGGCCCAGAACCCTAGAGCAGGACAGGCGTCAGGGAGGCGAGGGGCGCGGCCGCCCACAGACCCCAGCAGCTCAGCGCGGGCATTTCCTAGGTGACTTATTCAAGCCTTCAAGGAGCAGACAAGTCCAAAATCGCCGAAGTTCTGCAGAGAGCAGACAAAGGGAAAGCTCCTGACTTATTTTTATGCGGACAGGAGGCGGGTACCAAGTGCCTGAGGAGAGGGTGTGTGCACGCACAAGCCCCAGACCAGCCGCCCCTGAAATTACAAACACAGGGAACTGCGGACACACGCCTCCCTGCAACTCCGTTCGGGGCAGCAATTTCTGTGGCAGAAATGAAACGTTCACTGCATCTGACGCCCCTCTTCCAGAAACGGCCGGCGGGTGGGGCCATGGGAGCAGATGTGCAAGCAGGGTGCGCTCCCTGCCCCCACCCCGCAGCCCCTGGAGGCAGGGCTTCCCGGAGGCGGCCTCTGCACAGCCTGCTGCGCTGGCGCCGGGACTGGGCCATCCGCTCCAGGTCTGGGCTCATCGTGCTCCCTGCCCCACGAGCTACATTTCTCTTCCGTCAGCTGCTTCTCCTGCGGCAGTCCTCCCCCATCTCAGCCGCCCTGACCACTACAGACCGCCGCGCCTGCTCTGGGTGTCCCCACTGCGGCTCCTGTGTGCGGGCAGCACTCACCTGAAGGAAGATGCGGCCGATGCCACTCAGCAGCTGCGACTCCTGCTCCGGGTGACACTGGATGACGGAGTGATAGGCGCCCACAGCCAGCACGTAGTCCTGCGGAGACAAACCCAAGGAGGGTTCAGAGGAAGAAGGTCACTCGCCACTTTCCGTGTGAGAGTCAAGTGCCTGCAGACCCGCCGTGGGCAGTGGACAGAGGGACACGTCGGGTGGGAGGCAGGACACAGGTGAGAGCCGCTCGGCCAGCCAGGACCGTCGCCCTGCCCCTCATCCGACTGGTGACCGTGTCCCATCACTGGGGCCGAGGGGCCTTCCTGCCTCCGCCTCAGGTAGCAGCCAGAGCTTCTCCGGCGGCGCCTCTAACGCGCTCTTCCCCGACAAAGGTATTAGGTGACCTGGTGAACTCTGTCTTGACTCCACAGCTACTTAGGTCAGCCGCGTTTATTAAAAGCTTCTCTTAAATGTTTTCCATGCTAGAAATGGCGTTCGAGTCTTCAAATGTAAACAAAATGCAGCAAGACAACCTCGCTGAGAGCGTGAGCACAAGGCTTCGGTCAGAAGGGCGCGTTGGGACGCCCGGGGGCCACACAGGAGTCCCTCTGCAAAGGACACTCACAGGGGCGTCGGAAAGGCTGTGCAGGCCACCGCGCCCCACTCGCTTCTCCCGGCCCTCGGCGGGCGCCCTGTCACCTGCCCTCGGCCGGGATGAGTGACGACGGCCTCCACAGGTGAGAGGCTGACCCAGACGCCCTGGGAGAAGGGTTAGCCACCTGGGTGAGCCCCTGGCCGCCAGGCTCCCACGCGCCCGGCTGTGTAGTGGGCACAGTGCTGACCGCGTTTCTGAGTATGGCCCACAAGGCAGCAATAAACACGGCACCAGTGGAATTTTCTCCTTATTCCCCATAATGCCCGAGAAGGTACCTTTATTTCTTTAGTCTACATTTTCAATCTTATCCAAACTGGGACTGGAGTTACTACTCTGCTAATTGGGATGTTGTAAAGACAGACAGATGACAAGTAAGATTCCAGCTTAGCAGGAAATGTGGCCTCTCCAGTCTGGCACCTTCAAGTGCAGCTCATTAAAATGAGCCTCATCCGAGGCGCAGGGCGTACGGGGAGCTGACAGCACCTGCTTGTCGCCCCGGATTCCTGCCTGCCTGTCACCACCGTCCATGGCAGGGTGTGCATCCATGTGCGCCGTGTGTGTGAGTGAGTGTGAGCTTGTGCTGAGGGCCCTTGGGTGGAGAGGCAGCCACTCTGCTGCTCGGTGGCCGGCGGGGGCACCTGGGAGCAGCCGCGGTTCAGCAGCCACCCCTCACTTTCGGTTTGGGGTGAATGACAGGCACTGGGGACGTTCCTGGGTCAGTGCCAGTAAGCACGCCCCAAGTCTTGGCCAGAGAGTCGGGGCGCAGAATGTGGAGGGTGGTGCCATGGCCGTTCCCAGCGGGCAAGGCCACGCGTGTCCCTTCCAGGATGGCTTCCCGGGTAGTGGCACTGCCTTACACTTTGTTTCAGTTTTAGGCCAGGAGTCAATGTTTTCGAAGATAACTGGATATGGGAAGGGCCGTTTTAAAAACCAAGTAGTGATCCCTGGTGGAGAATTATTTTACCGCTGAGCTGTTAAAACACGGCTCTCCCAGGAGACTACTCCTGGGCAGGTCCACAGGCGTGGGGACCCGGTGAGAAAGCCAGGTTCTAGGCAAGAGGTCAGCCAGGAGGCGGCGGGGCCGTGGGGCAGCAGCGCCGTGGGGCAGCAGCGCCGTGGGGCAGCAGCGTGGGCCTCGGCCCGGGCAGGGTGACATCAGGCCTGTGCCGTGGAGCCTGGCAGCGGGCAACCACGCGGGAGCCTGTTGAGCGCTTCTGTGCGTTTATTCCTTAAGGAAACGGCTTGGTTACTGGAGGTGGAGGAAGTCCAGCCGCTTTCAGGGAAAGGGGCTGAAACGAGCTCTTTGGAGAGCTTTACTCCTGCAGATCCTGCAAGCCGGCTCTGGAATCGCGTGGGGACGGCTTGCTCACAGGACAAACCCACTGGAGTCGCGTGGGGACGGCTTGCTCACAGGACAAACCCACTGGAGTCGCGTGGGGACGGCTTGCTCACACGACAAGCCCACTGCAGCTCAGTGTTCACCCTGTCAGCAGCACCTCGTCTGGTGGCTGTGAACCAGCTTTCCAACCACCCACAGCCAGAAAGGACTTGTGTGCTGCGGTGAGCGTGGGTGCATGGCCTGTTAGCTGCCGTGAAGGACAGGACAGGCACCTGGGCAGGATGGGGGCCGTGGGGCACTTGGGGAGCACATGGAAGGCCGTCAGTGTGGGTGCTTCAGGCCGCTGAGAGTCAGAGGAGGCCAGGCAGCATTTAAAAAGTGGGGCTGGGGGCGGCCGGTTAGCTTGGCTGGTTAGAGTGCAGTGCTCGTGACACCAAGGTTGCTGGTTCGATCTCCGCATGGGCCACTGAGGTGCGGCCTCCACAACTAGACTGAAACAACTGCTTCACTTGGAGCTGATGGGTCCTGGAAAAACACACTGTTCCCCAATTATAAATAAATAAATAAATAAGTGGGACTGGTGAGCCTACCTGGGCTTTGCAACGCCCAGGACAGTGCCTGACAGTGTATTATGCAGATACTCGGGGCTGAAGCTATGACTAGATTTCTCATCACTGAAAAGCTACATTAATATCCCTTTCACTGTAACAGAAATGCTATTCGAAATAATTAAGGGCTGATGAAATAAACCCTTGCTAGCCCATTCCCCCGTGTGACTGACAGGACACCCGCCTAGAAGACCACACACAGGGCTGTAATTCCCGGCACGCTCACCAGATGGCACCAGAAAGCACATGCTTGCGGTGGCCTGCACGGCACCATTTTTTACTCCCTCTTTTATCTCATGAAAATGAAAGATTAATCTAAAATTTTAAATTAAATTGCATTCTCGTAAAAGTCTTTTTGAAACACAATCATATGTTCTGTACTGAGTCCCAACAACGTAGGTGGAAGACGTGTGCTTGGTGCCTGGTGGTCTGATCACTACGACAGTACAACAAAGAAACGCATTTTTATCCCATAATCTTCTATTAATGTGTCTTAAACATGCAAGTAAAAACCCACCAGCGGAACAGGTAACTCCCTCCGGAGGAGTCTGAGCCCCATGATTAATGAAACGTCAGCCCTGCGGATTTACAGTGTGCTCCGTTCCTTTGTGTGAGCCTGTGCATGTCAGCAGCTGACAGTGGCCCGGGGCTGCAGGGGGGGCGGCGTAGCTGCAGAGCTGGCTGACTGATCAGCGGCTGGCGGGGAATGGCCTGTTTGGAGGGGCAGAGGGGGCAGGATCTGGGCTTTGGGGAGCAGCCCAGTCACTGTGCCTCCCTCCTGCCCACGCGTGCCGGGGGCAGGCGCAGGGCTGAGCCAGAGGACAAGGGACACGGTAGCCGAAGGGCAGCCGCTGGCCTTGTCAGACATGCTGCCTGCGGAAGGTGAAGGGGAAGGGAGAATGGCCCCGAGTGGAGCCCAGAGCTGCCTGTCCCCACGCAGAGCTGAGAAGAGCCGCATGGATGCCAGGGCTGGAGGGCTGAGCCTCATTTCTGAGGCGGCGCCTGGAGCTCAGGGATGTGGCAGGGCGCAGGCTGCAAGGTCACCCTGGACCCCAGGGTCACACACTATAGGGGTTCACAGAAGGCGGGGCGCAGGGAGGGAGCTGCATGCACGCCGCACTGGCCACCCCTCATTCTGACGCAGAGGGGGAGCCGCTTAGGGCTCTGAGCTTACACCTGCACCCAAATGCCCAGCAAGCGGCCTTTGCAGGGTTGTGAGGGGTCGGTGCAGGTGTCACACGGCTGCCCCCTCAGGATTAGATGCGGGGCCGCACAAGTACACTCCTCCGCATGGTCCATGGACTGCTCGCTAGGCTGCAAATCCAGCTCTCGCAACGACCTTAGGGGCCCATGGGAGGGGTTCCCATCTCCTCGGTAACAGCCCAGGAGGGGTTCCCGCGCTGCCCCGTCTGTGGCTAATTGATTACTGAAGTAGCTCCGGCCTTCAGCCCCTGCAACTGGCAGCTCTGCCACCAACCCAGTGCAGGTCACCCCGCCACGGAGCCAGAGGTGAGTGGGGTTGGGCTGCGGCGGGCTGGGCGCTGCACGTTTCCAATGAAGGGAGAAGCTGAGAGACAGCTGTACAGCTGGGGAGGGCCAGCCTGGGGAAGAGGCCGGGGCCACCAGGACGGCCACCCTCCATGCAGCCTCCTCTACTCGACTGGTAAGCTGTCCCCTCAGGGACCGCAAGCTCCGGGGTGGCGTCCTAAGAAGCAGGTCTGTGGGGACGCCTGTCTCTAGATGCCAAAGCATCAATCCCCAAATCAAACCCAGACAAGGAAAAACACCCTCCACTGACGCAGGGAGAACAAAGGCTTGCCTTCCTGGGATGTGATTCAGACAATAAGATGCGACAGACAGAGGGAGAGGGACAGAGAATGAGAGAGTGAAGGCTGATTTTAATTAAATCATCTAGACCCACATTTGAACAATTAACCTTGACAATGAAAATCTCCCTTCTGGTGGAACTTCTTGTAGAAATCACAGTCAATTTCGCCCCGGTGTTGCTGAGCCCTCTGCTTGGGTGCCCCCGCCCGGCTCCCAGGGGCCCTCCCGCGGCGCCCGCCAACGCCCTCCCCGGAAGGCACGCACCTTCATCAGCAGTAGGCAGTTGGCCATGGAGCACGTCACGCGGCCCAGGCGAGACCTCCACAGCTGCACGGAGGCTGCAAGAGAGGGGTGGCGGTGAGCGGGCGCAGCCGGGGGCGTCTGGCCCTCAGCCCTGGGGCAGTCCTGGGAGCTGACTTAGGTCCCCATCACCACGGCTGGGCCTGGCCTAGGTGCTCACGTGCCGCCTAACACACATGGCCGGGCCACCAAGGGGATGCAGCAACACAACAGCCTCCAGGCAGACAGCCGGGGCTGCATTTCCTCCGTGTGCCGCCCAGGGACACGAGGGACCTGGGGACGCCTCGCCGACGACCTGTGGGAGGCACCTGCCCACCGGCCACTAGGCCTCCCCTGGGCTCCCCTGGGGTTGGCCATGGGGCTCTGCCTTCCCCAGGCCTCAGTTTCCAGACCTCTCCGACGTAAACAAGAACCCCGCTCCGACCTGCTTCACGGAGCTTTGTGAGATCGACGTGACAGGGCACAGAGGTGCTGCCCTGAAGGTCACAAGCACCCCGGAGGTGAGGCCACCCACGGGTGTCTGCACAGCTGCAGTGCTGACCTCTGGGCATCTTCAAACCCCTGCAGCCTGCTTTCTCCCCAGAACATCTGTGCACTGGTCCAGAGCAGCAGGGCCGGGCCTGCCCCGTTATCCCGTCTCCCCACCTGCTGTCAGCTGCCTCTCACTGATTCCCAGCCCCCCAAGCAGGTGCCTGGGGGCAAGGAGGCGCTAACCAATGGCTCCCTGCCCCCCCCCATGACCTTTATCTGTTTGTTTATTGGAATTGCCAGAAGTAAGGTTGGTTTTGAAGGCCGAGCTGATTTTAAACCTTCTATTGTGATTAACAAATCAAGGCCCAGAGAGGCCAGAGCGATGTCTGTCCTGACCCTGTCCAGTGCGCCTCAGGCCTCCGCTCTGCCTGCCGCCTCACAGAGGAGCCGGAGGACACAGCGAGCACCGAGGGGGGAGGGGCAGGCGGCGGGCAAGCCTTCCCGTCAAGCAGCACAGTCCGTGCCTTCGCTGATGAGCACGTCCTGGACGTAGCTGCATGACGGTAACTGGGGACCGTACTTTGGTCGGATCTGCCCGCTTACTGAGTGGGACCTCACCCTGCTGCCAGCACCAATGGTCAGTTTTGGGACAATGATCGCCTAGAAATTACACTCATTCTTGGAGTGCTTAAGAAGAACACAAAAGGACCAGCTGAGTGGCGTGTTGATTAGGAGTTGGCTTGGGGCGCCAGCTCTGAGCAGCAGGGCCCCGGTTCGGATCCCACATGCGGGCCAGTGACGCTGAGCCCTCTACAGCTAAGATGGTGAACAACAGCTCGACCTGGAGCTGGGCTGCCGTGAGTCGCCAGCAACGGCGTAGGCTGCAGCGGGCTGCCTTAAGCTACCGTGAGTGGCCAGCAGCCAGCATGAGCCGCCGGCAGCAGGCATGAGCTGCCACGAGCGGCCGTCCAATGACCAGCGAGCGACTGCCACACCCGGGAAGAGCGCAATGGTAACACCAACATGGGCCAGTGAAGTGACATCCTGTACAACTAGACTGGACAGCGAGGGGACAGCAACTTGTCTGATCCCCTCCCCCAGTTCCCCAATGCTGTTCCCTTCCCCAGTTCCCCAATAGAATCTTAAAGAAAAAAAAAAAGAACACCAAAACTTAATTGCCAGAATTAAGAACTTAACTCACTTTGGCTTTCAGCAATTAAAAAGTACATCAGCTGGCTAAATTCCATTTGTAACACGATTTTTGGGAAAAGACATTCAGAGCAATGCCCTTTCCTAATGAACCTAAGTGTGTCTCGGTGACCTGCAGAGTGACTGCCTGAGGCTTCTCTCGATGGCCCTCCCCTCTCTGCCTCACAGTCTGGGATGTGCTGGGATGTGACTGGCAGAGCGCTAGGGGCTGCTTTCCGAGACCACCGGCGCCCTGGTGGGGGCACTGTGACGGGGAGGGACAGGTGCTGGAGAGCAGCGGTCCAGGGTGAGCAGTGCCTTCCACCCTTCACCTTGTTAATTCCCCTGCAAGGACATTACTGAGCAGGAGCGCAGACACGCCCACCAAGCTGGCAGTCACTGGGACTTCCCAAACCACGGACGCTGGGCTAGGGTGTAAACAGCCCACTGCCACTGGCCTCCCAGGGCAAGCACCTCCTGGCCCGTCGCTCACTGTCACTCAGCCCTCTTCCCATGGCCACGAGCATGGGGGGCGCCGCCGTGCCCGGCAGGGGACACAGCTATCCATGGAGGGCTCTCTGCAGGCCACCTCGCCAGCTCGCACACCAGTCTCCTCGCAGTGCAGCTTCACAAGAAGCCACGGCTTGCCAGCGCCATGCAGCCAGCCAGCGGTCACCAAGAGCCCACCGCACGCCAGGTGCACAGGGGGAGACTACCAGGCGCCCGGGTCAGGAGGTGATGCGGAGCAGGGCAGACACTGGGAGCAGGGCGGCGCTGGGCAGCCCAGGCGGTGTGCAGAGGCGCTGTCCTGAGGACTAAGAGGCAGTGACGGGCCTCCCAGGGCGGCACCGTCTGAGCTGGGCTTTGAAGCATGAGGAGGAGTCATCGCTCATGCGCTCAAGAAACTGCAGCCAGGAGGATGGTGTCAAAACGCAAGTCAGCCCGTTGCCCAGCACTCAGGACCAAGACCAGTGTCGCCAGCTGCCCGCAGGCTCTGGGCGGGGCCATCTCCATCTCCACGCCTGCCCCTCACCAACGCCCGCTCCCGCTGCCCCGGTGGGGCAGTCGCACGGTGGGCATCCCCACCGGCGAGGCCAGGCCCCTCCTGCCCAGCACCCACGTCACCGAGGAGCCTTAGAAATGCCTGGCGTCACCTGGGGCAGGCGGGGCTTCACCCGACCAGCTCCCCGTGAGCGGGGCTCATGCCCAGTTTTACATTTCATGTGTCCAGGCCACCAAGCTCGGGGCTTGGGTTCCGAAAGAGGAACACGTGAGTGCACGAAAGGAAAGATGCAAGAAAGGGAAGGAGACCAAGAGAAAACCCTCTGCAGCTGAACTGTTGGGTCACTGGGCCATTATGCAGCGATGAGGAGCCTGGCCACTGACCTTGTCTGTTCTCCTGGGAGATGCTGCTGTGGCCCCCGTCCTCAGCCAGGCCTTGCTCCAAGTGGGCCAGGATCTGCAGGGGAGCGAAGAACAGCGTCATCAAGAGAGAATGCGCTTGTAGGCTTATGACACATTCTCGGGGAAGCAGCTTTCCCCGCATAAGAACCAATCTGTCAAGGAATGCTTCCCACGGACACACGGGATCCGAGAGCACACCAACCACAACCGAACAGCTCGGGCGAATCAGAACTGCAGAGGCTGAGAGCAGACACCACGGGGGCGAGGTCAGGGCAGCCCCCTGGGCCTCACGCTGCACACGGCTGCCCAGCCCGCCTCCGGGGCCCGTGTCTGCAGCCTAAGCTGAATGCTGCGCGGAGGGCGGGGGGACGGAGGAGACGTGAGAGGTGAGGAGGACGTCCTAGAACAAGCTCACCTCTGAAAGCAGCTGCAATACTGAAGTAACAGTGGTTTGGAAGTGCAAAGACACTGCTAGGAAACGGATGGGGGGGAGTCAGGAGGGAAGAGAAGAAAAGCCATGGTCCTGGGACACGGTTCTGCATGGGGCTGTTCCATGTCCTGGAAGCTGTGACTCAGCCCCACCACAGGGGACCTCACGGCAGCCTCACTGCAGCTACAAGGACAGACGTCAGCACCATGGACAGCAGGGGAGGGCCGGCGGCTGACTCAGCAGTCACTTGCCTTGAATGAACATCCCACCTGCCTGACTCCACACAGAACCAATACCACCTCATCTCAAGTAGGATTTAAAAGGCAATTGGTGACCCAGTCATATTTAAAGAAACCAAAATCCACGTTCCAAATTCTGTGCGGTTATTTGGGTGGAGGCAAGGGAGGCGTTCTAACGGGATAACTGACACCTTTGGCAGATGGTTCCTGGAGAACTTCCGCAGCCCACAGGAGAACCACATTTCCACCTGCCTCCGGGAAGCCTGGGCGCTCACGGACACGGGTGCACACACATGGCCTGGAAATCTGCTTTTCAAACTGCAGATTCCAATTCCCACCCCCGCACTTGTGACGCGCTCCAGGCGACACCAGTGCCGATGGTCCGGGCACCACGCTGTGGGCAGCTCTAGGGGAGGCAGCCTTGCTCCTGTCCCTTTGGTGGCTCTCAGGGGTTGTGGCAGGGGTTGGTGGGGTAGATTTGGAGCAACAGCTTTATGCAGGAGGCATCCAGTGTACAGACTGGGAGGGTGGGTCCTAATTCAAGGACCTGAGGACTCACTAACGTTCTACTTGAGTCCAGATGAGAGAGACAGCAGGTCTGCCCTAGAGGGGCTTAGGTTTCTCTGCAAAGTCCTGGGCCTTCCCATCCCACCACAGTCTCTTGGGGTACCTTCCAGGAAAGAGGCTTTCCAAGCCACTTAAGGAACATAAACCCTCCCAGGACCAGGCACTGGGCCAGGCTGCTTGTCTGCATCCCTGATCCACAGGCACGGCTGCCCCTGGAGGCAGCTGGCCACATTCATCTACAGGCTGGCTCAGGCCGGTCGCTCCCCGAGGAAAGGTCAGCGTCGGACCTGGAGGTTTCCCCCGTCTGCCCTCCCAACCACTGCCTGCAGACAGCGAGCTTCGGGGCACCACACCTCGACTGAACACACACTCTCTGTTGCCCACACAGATCACAGAATGAGAGAAGGTACCAGCCAAGATAAACACGGGGGAGAAGGCACAACTCCAGACCTTACCCATCAGGGCCCACGTTTGCCAGACTATTCGCTAACTTCTGGGCATCATGTTTTGTGCTGGGCTGGAGCTGCTGAGGGGCACCGGTGACATTCCCAGGCCCGTGTCCTGTGATTCAGTCATGCAAGCTGCTGTTTCTAAAGGCGCAGTTTCCCGACCAGCTGAGTCAAGACACGCGCCTGCCTGCAAGCCCTGTCGACAGGGACGCCCCCTCTATCGCTTGTGCGCTCGGAGCTTGGATGGGCCCAGGGGTGTCAGCAGCAACGGGCAGAGCTGCTGCTTCTACCCAGGACACAGGCGGCCTCCTCAGCCTTCCAGTCACCGCTCTTCACTTGCCCGTCACGCCCTCTCAGCTGAGTCAGCCACACTCCATCTGTCCTGTGCGGGAGCAGCGGGGAAGTAGGGCACAGCCCGCATGGGTCAAGCGAGGCCGACGGCCAGCCCACCCGAGCGTCCCCAGCAGCTGGCCAGGGAGAGGGCTGACAGTGGCTGTTCTCGCTTCCATTTTTACCTGCATTTACAAGTAAACAGCAGAACCCGAGCATCTGCAGCTCCAACGGTTCCTGACTGCCAGCCTGGAAGAAGTACCTTGCAGACCAACCACAGGCGCCACGTAAGCCACGAAAACAGTGGGACAGAGCCAACTAACTGCTCTGTTTTGGAAACAATGGCACTGGTTTTGTACTGTCCTTGAGTTAAGTACCTCAGATCAACGTCCAGCTCATGGCCAGTCAGTGGCTACTGAGGGTGGCCCAAGTGCTGGCCCCCTGCCTGTTCAGGCACAGAACACTCGAGGGGCTGGTCTGGGTGTGGCCCGGCTCAGTACCCACAGCTGGACATTGTCAGGCAGTCGCGTCTGTGCGCCCAGGACCGAGGTTTGGTACCGTCACCTGTGGGTCAGGCAGGAGGCCAGGCCCAGGGCTGCAGGCCCGGGGACGGAGGCTGAGTGAGGAGGGACTGATGGAAAACGGCAGCAAGGAGGTGCCCTTTCACAGTCTTACTCCCCCACTGTGGGACCCCTCACCAGGGCCGCCTCACCGCCCCTGGACTGACTGAGACCGATTTCCAGCAGAAGCAAGTGCAGCAGTCGCTGGGATTCCTGGCACTGCCAAGGTGACCCGCGAGACCCAAGTTCAGAACGCCGTTTCCCAAGTTCTTGGGGAACACACCGTGCTTGGGGTGGGGAAGGCTGATGGACTGACCCCACAGAGGAGTAAGAGTGGGGGGTCCAGGGGCCCGGAGCTGGGGACCTGCCCACTCGGCCAAGCCCTGGTCTCCTCGTGTGTAAATGCAGCTGCTGTGAGCTTTGAAGGAGGCAGTGCCCGTAAAAGGTAAGCACGGCCCTGACAGCGAGGGACTGGGCGTGCTGATGGCACACTGTCACGCTGTCACCGGTGTGACTCTCCTCGCTAGCCGTGTTGTCACATTGTGGTGTGCATGTCAGGAGCCCACTGCTGAAAATGCCAAACACTCTCGGGCCAGGAAACTGACCCTCAAAACGACTGCAGCTGGCCTGACCTCTCCACCCTTGGGTCACCCTGAGACTCAGAATTTTCTCTCAAATACATAAAAATTTCCCCCAATGTGATATGGAGAACAAAAAACAATTAAAAATTCATCTGTGTACAGTTTAGAAAATCATTGATTTAGCATTTCTTAATAAGTTATACGCTTCCTATTTCTAAAAATAACTATATTTTAATTATGTTTTAAGAGTCAGGGAAAAAAATGTCAGAATCTAAAAAACAGTTCAGAATACAATATTCCCCCCCATCAACTGATGAATATATAAGAGAGCAAGTAGTTTATCTTCTGTCTTGTAAGTTATGACAGAAAATGGAAGCTGACACAGAACGCGAGGGCGTGAGGTCCCAGGCACGCCGCTTATGCTCGAGGGAGGTCAGTGTGGCCGGGAGGCCACCCCTCCCTGCTGGGAGTCCTGGGGACACCGCCCTGGAACGCCATCGAAGTCCCATTGGGAGGAGCTGAAACGGAAAGGAGGAATCTGACACACATAACCTCGTTTTTCAAACAACTGTAAGATGCTGTTGCTCGTGCCTGCTTGTTAGTTCTGAAAGTGCCCCCAGATGTCGTGTCACTCACCCCACACGGCAGCACGGGGGAGGGGGTCGTACTCCCGTCCTGAGGACGGAGCACCTGCGTGGGCAGGGCTGCCCACCGCCTGCAATGGAGACGCTACGTCCCATGCTTCTTCCTCTCGCCACTCATGGGATACTTTCCTCCGTTGGTGCCTTCCACACGCGTGTCACCTCACAACCCAGAGTAACTCAGAACGCGCCTCTGGGCCGTGCCTGCTTTCAGTCAGTGTTACGAAGGTCAGTGTCACGACAGATGCTTTGCTTTGGTCCTGGGACATTTTAAACCACTCTCTTACCCTGGCTCCGGGGCATGTCTGGCACCAAGCAGGTGCGCACAGAACCTGCAGCAAGTGAGTGGCCTGCCATGGGTCGGTGCCGCCACGGGCAGCCTGGGCACAAGCTCACACATGTGATTCCTATGCCAGACAACACTTCCCTTCTCATCTGCCAGCAACACCATGGAAGGACCTCAGGACTCGTGCTCTTCCAAAACCATCCACCGCCTCCCCAATAATTTCAGCGAGAGGAGGGAATACCAGGGCCTCAGTAATCGGGGCCCCCGCCTCTCTGAGGAGGAAGTGGAGATCGTGGTGGTGGGAGGGACAGGCAGACGTGCGGTGCTTCTCGCGAGGAAGGGGGAGCACGGTGCACGCGGCAGCGGCCGCCTGGGCGAGAGCGGTACCTGGCTGCAGACGGCCTTCACTCGGTGCAGCCTGTCCAGCGACTCCTGGGGGTTCCCCAGGTACTGCTGCAGCTCCGCGTGCAGGATCCTCATGGAGAAGGGCACCATGGAGCCTGCAAGGAAGGCAGGGCTGGGTTAGCTGCGTGCTGGGACGCAGAGCACCGTCCCAGCAGAGCGACGGCAGCACCTGCATCTCTCGTCCAGCTTGCAGCGGGGCCAGCCACGTGTGCGGGGCTGATCCACGAGGCTGCACGCAAGCGTGTCTTCCAGTCGTCAGGAGACAGGCGGATGTCCACGATCCCCTCAGCTATGCTTCAGTCCTGCAGAAGCCCCCCCCCCCACACACGCATGCACGCACACACAAACACACGCGCGCGCGTGCATGAAACGGCAGGGCCGTCTCTTCCAGTGCCAGGCAGCACAGAGCTCCGAGGGTCCCTGAACACCTCTCCGGCACAGCAACTCACCTACACGATTGCTCAAGCTGGGTTCCCAAGAAGACCCTGAGAGGAGGACCTGTTAGCACGTAAGGGTGTGGGGGACATAGGCCCAGGACCTGAGGATGTGGCTCCAGCCAGACTGTGGGCTGTGTGCGCACATATGTGTGTTGTGCGTGCATGCATGTGTGTGTGCATGTGTGTGTGTGTGTGCGCACACGCGTGTGTGCGTGCACCTTTGGAGTGAAAGTTCTGCTCCGAGCTGTCCTAACAGGAGGCAAGGGAGCTTGCGGGGCTGGAAACTCCACACCTGGGACTTGTTCTCCGCAGGGCTGCCCGGGGGAGGGCCTCCCCGGCCCCTCCAGCTCCACCAAAAGGAATAAGGGTCGTTCTCTGGAAAGGGGCTGTGGCTAAAATGAACTTGTACACGGTGCCCAGATGTGGCTGCGTCATCTTGCAGGATACGGGTCTCTGTTAATGTCATGTTCCTGTCTAATATGACAAAATCTGATATATAGTATACATATACTAAGTACATAAAACCATCAAAATAATGAAGCACTCTGCACTATGTAAATGAGATAAAGGATGAAAATGCCAGCACAGGGCGATCACACAGACTCAGAAAAGGACGCTGAAAACCAGGCCGAGGTGGGCAGTATGCAGATCTGGAACACAGTTTGGAAGACGGCTAGAAAACAAGCTGTGTGACGCCTGCAGGCCACTCAGCCCCATGTCCTCAGTCTGTCCATCTACCCACCCAGGAATCACCCCATGCGCCACGTAAGACGGCTGCGTGTCTGTGCTGCTTCCTACTTGAAAGCTGCATGATGCTCTGTGGTCGTTACTGAGGGTCGGAACAAGAGGAGTCCAGAAAGGACAGTCAAATACAAGGAACGACACAGAAAACAGGCTCTACTGCGATGACAAGCCTGCAGAAAAGAAGACAATTATGTAATTTAAAATGTTTGAATTTTTTGATGACACTAAACAATTCCTATGTCTGAAAAGAATGGATGGCTGAATTCACGTTATGGTCTGAGTCATTTCAGCTTCCTAGAAAGAAGGATCTCCTGACCATCAGCGTCACTAACTATGGGGCTGGGCCGGCTGGCACAGTAAGCTGCATGTAACTGTTATTTCCATCCTGCACATCAAGCAGGGAACAGGCAATGATCGCGCCCATCTGGTTTAGAATTTACCTGCAGGGACGACTCTAGAGCCCTTCAGTCGCTGTAAGATGAGCCCAGAAACAAAACTCCTCCTACTGGAAGCTCCCAAACCCACGTTATCAATTAGCCGGACACGTGACACGGCGGCAGGGACCTATCGCTCTTCACCCTGGCAACTGCGGGTAGATCTGGGGAAGAATCTGTGTTAAAAGAACATGTGAAAATATTTTGAACAAAATGAAAATGCAACTTAAAGTGTGTGGGATCCAGCAAAAGCAGTGCTAGGAGGGAACTTTCCAGCATTAAATGCATATATCTATAATCCGTCACCTAAGCTTCCACCTTAGGATACTAGAGAAAGATAAACAATATAAAAGCAGAAGAAAAGTAAAACGTAGAACAGAAATCAATGACATTGAAAACAGGAAACCAACAGAGAAAAATCAATAAAACCCAAAGCTGACAAAAATCAATAAAATTTATAAACGTCTAGGCTAACCAAGAAAAAGGGATGATTTACTAATATGGGAAATGAAAGAGGGACCATCACTAGGGATCGCCTGGACATTAAAAGGATAATAAAGGAATAATGTGAACAACTGTATGTTCACAGACTTTGTCACCTAGATGAAATGGACCAATTCTTTAAAAGACACAATCTACTAAACCTCACACAAGGAGAAACACATAACCTGAATAGGCCAATGTCTATGTAAAAAATTAACTCAATAAGTAATAACCTTCCAAAAAAGAATACACCAGGCCCAGAGGGTCTCACTGGTGAGTTCTAGCAAATGTTTGAGAAAGAAATGGTCCCAATTCTCTAAAATCTCTTCCAGAAAATAGAAGCATAGGGAGTGCTTCCTAACTCATTCTATGAGGCCAGCATCACTCTGATACCAAAACCAGACACATTACAAGCAAGAAAAACCGCAGACCAGTGTGGCTCATGAACATAGATGTGAAAATTCTCAACAAAATTAGCAAATCAAATCCAACCATGTATGAAAAGAATTATACAGGATGACCAGGTGGAACTTATTCCAGGTATGCAGGGCTGGTCCAACATTCAAAATCAATCACTGTAACCCATCACATCAAACAGGCTAAACAAGAAAAGTCACATGATACATCAATAATGCAGAAAAACATCTGACAATGCCACACCCATTCATATAAAAACTATCAGCAAACTAGGAATAAAGGGAAACTTCCTCAACTTGATAAAGAACATCTACAAAAACCTGGGCCGGCTGAGTGGCTCAGTTGGTTAAGAGTTGGCTTGGGACGCCGGCTCTGAGCAGCAGGGCCCCGGTTCGGATCCCACATAAGGGCCAGTGACGCTGCGCCCTCTACAGCTAAGATGGTGAACAACAGCTCGACCTGGAGCTGGGCTGCTGTAAGTCGCCGGCAACGGTGTAGGGTGCATTGGGGCTGCAGTGGGCTGCAGTGAGCTACTGTGAGCGGCTGTCTAATGTCCAGCGACCGATCTGCCTCAGCTGGGAAGAGTGCAATGATCCTAATACCAACATGGGCCAGTGAAGCAACGTCCTCCACAACTAGACTGAAGAACAAAAGGACAGCAACTTGTCTGTTCCCCTCCCCCAATTCCCTAATGAAATCTTTAAAAAGAAATGTGAATTTCATGATTTTGGAGAGGGCCGAAAAGGACTAGCAGCTTTTTCTTACACAGAGGGGGAGCGGCTGGCAGGGCAGACATTAAGTGTCCAACTTAAGTGTTCGCCGCATCAATTTTAGTTTGATTTGGTAATCCATAAGGATTAAGTTGCGAATTAAGATTTCACATGAAATCATTATAACTCTAACAACTTAAACTAGACACAGGGATCTGACTTTGGAATTAGAAGAGGCACTGCATTTCTTACACAGTGCATTGAAGTTAACTAAACCTTGTTTTCTTTCCAAGGGGAGGAGCTTTTGGCTTCATCATTTTCCTCCGGCAGTGCCGGAAGTTGAAGCGAACGGTTTAATGGAGAGTAGTGCTTTCACGTGCTGGCTTTCATCACGGCTTTCTTTTCAACAGGACAGAGAATTCCAAACAAGATTAAGACGGTGCTGGGAGCTGGAAAAATCCAACTGTCCTACAAGAGGCTGAAATTAACGTGACCAGGAACGGATATATTAACTATGTCTGGAATGGACATTTCATTGTTTTTGAAGATAAAAACAAAATGAATATGTGCCACACAAAGAGTAAACCTGAACGTAAGCTACGGACATTTGTTAATAATTATGTATCAACGCTGGTCCGTCAATGCCAATAAATGTACCCCATCAAGCAAGAGGCTATCAAGCCACCCCGCGGGTGATCTAGGACAGCGTCCCCGCGTATAGTCCTGGCCAGCACAGCACACTAGCCCTGTTTGGGAGCAGCCATTTCCCAGAGCAACAACTACAAAGCCACCAACACCGGAACTGAAAGCAAATTGAGGAGGAAGGCTGAGGGGCACCTGAAGACTGGTTCAACCGGAAGCAGCACGTGGGGATCTGAAACGGCATTTAAAGCCCTGAGGACGGTCATTTTGAAGTTGTCAAGAATAAAGACAAACAAAAACACTCCTAATTTGGGGGGAGGCTGGAGCCTGCGCACCTGGCCACTCCGACCCCACCCTGGAAGAGGGGGCAGTGGCTTCCAGAGGGGCTGAGGCTCCATTTTCACTCTCATGGTTCTTACATTTCTACCCGCACGGCCAGCCCTGACCCTGAGTTTCCTGAGCCAGGTGACAATGACAGGGGGAGCCCTGGACGGTCAAGTGTAGCCCTACTGCGTTACGTCTTTAGTGTGGCCCATAGGGACGCGGGGGACTTCAAGTTAAGGAGAAGGTCCGGCAGTCTGAGCACACAGCCTCCACCGCCTGCCCTGCTGGTTTCTAAATACGGAATCTGAGCTTTGGATGACCTCTTACGTTTTGGATGGCCTGAACTCGAAGCACACAGCTGCTAACCCAGCCTCTGGGGCCCCGAGGCACAGGGACACACACACAGCGTAAGGGAAGACGCAAGAAATGGGGTGGAAAGGGGCAGAGGACAGGCTCGCAGCGCTCAGGCCGGCTGCCTCGGCCCCTGCGAGCTCGCGACGGCTGTCGGGCCTGTCTGCTCAGTGCTCACGGCTGTCTCTTTCTTGCACACCACTGGGAGAACTCCAAACAACTGATCAAAAGGCAGTGGAAACCACACACCCCGTCCTCGGAGAGGCTGAAAGTGACCGCGTGAAAATGCTGGAAGCGTCAGGGAAATATGTAAAACCACAATACTGTTCCTTTCTTGGATATGAATTTAAAAAAACCAAACCATGATTTTTACTCAAGATTCATGATGTCTTATTAAGAATATTCTGAATGGGTGAAATGACGTCCAATACTTAAATAAAATGTATTAAAGCTCATTGATAACTTCTGTTTGCATCACTGTAGCCTCCTTTTTAAAGTGCATTTTAATGGTTTGTTTTCTTATATACAGAGGGTGTACAAACAATGTATACACAGCTTAAGAAAGGAAAGAACTGTATTAAAATTGCAGTATCAATATATACTAATAACAAGAGAGGAATACAAGTCATGTGTATACATTGTTTGAGCACCCTCTGTATATACTGTAAGCTAAAATGAAACAAATAAATCAAAATCTTATATTTATGCTCGTACACCCCAAAATGAGAAGAAAAATTAGTAGGCAGTCAGCATATCACTGTGGACGAATGTTAACACTTTAGCTAAAGTAGATGTATGACGTATGTTCATTTCATGATTTAAATTAACTGCTAATGACGCATGGCCGTAACCACCTTCTCTTATCGGTACCCCGTGAACCATGCTTCCTGGTCTGCTCATCCTCCGGGAAGGACAACAGGGGGTTCCACACGGGAACCGGACCTCACTACAGGAAGCACAGTGTCACCGCCATCAAAGCTGTCCTTAGACCAGGGCGGCCCACCGCGGGCTCTATTCCACAGCTCAGGGCCGTAAAGCGGGACCTGCCAGGTGGCGGGTGGTCAGCATTAGAGCAGCGGGACTAGAAACCTCAGGAGCTGCAGGTGCCCACAGCTGCTCCAGAGAACGACGGCTTTTAACATGTATTTGTTATTCAACAGCTGGTGTCCGACTGGTCATTTGGAGGCTACGATTCTCGTGACCTCGATAGGAAAAGGGACCGGAACAGATCATGCCGCTGGTTCATTAGGGGATCACGAGATGGGCTCGCAGCTCTGTTTCCCTCAGCAGTGGGCACTGCACCACCCACCAACAGCGGCCAGTCCCCAGGCCAGCAGTGGGGCCGGCCTCCCTGAGAGCGCCCTCAGCTGTGAGGGTGGTGCTGGGGGGAGAGGCCACACGCAGGCCGGGTGGGGAGAATGACATCTGTTTATGCCGAAGGCGACACAGCTGTTCCTTATGACAAGTACGAGAGCATCTCGCTTATCAAAGCTGCCAGGCCGAGCTCACCAATCAGACCCCCCCCCCAACCCGTTCTTCTTTCCATCAGAACTAGTGAGAAGTGGCCACACACCTTCCTCTCTTTGGGGAGAAGTGTCCTTATCGCCTTCTGGAGAAGGGACAGCCAGAAGTGTGGGTGAGCAGAGAGCACCGTCACGTCACAACTGAGAGGCGTGTGCCCCGCGTAATGGAGACGTCTGGGCCTCTGCACGTTCCAAGTCCCAGGCGCAGCGAAGGACAAGTGGCTCACACGGGCCGAACGGCAGGGTGAGGACAGTGCAGCCCCAGCCCCACGGTCAGAGCCCGCGTCACCTTCCTGGGCGGTGGAGCGCCTGAGTGGGTGACCTCAGGCTGCCACCAGCTGGGGCGAGGAGCAGAGTGTCCCAGCCTCCGCCTGGGTGGCGTTCCCGAGCGCACTGTTCACGTTTGTCCCCGTCCTGAGGAGGCTCCCTGCGCCTGGCAGGCCGCTGCGGGGGAGAAGCCCACAAATGGGGGGCGGCTCACTCTCCCCTCCTGGCTGACTGCATGCAGCCAGGCCGGTTCACTTCCACTCAGGCCGGCCGACCCAGTGTAGACGGTCGGTCTGACTTTTCCCTGTTTTAGGTACTGAAACCTCCTTCTGCATTCTGTCTCGTCTACAAGGGATAAGTTTGTTAGGCAAAGGAAGAAACAGGGTTTTAATTCCCAGGAGGCTGAAGGGTCTAAAAGCAGCTCCTGCTGAAATCCTCCTGCAATTCTGGGGAAACCCAGGATAACGCAGACCAATCCCCATCGAGCCCGTGATCCAGGATAGAGCTGAGCGTGAAGGAAGCTGCCTCTCCCGCATCCCTCCACAGAAACGGATGTGAGTTACCGAAAAACAACACAAAAGGAAGTTGAGAAGTGTCTTTCCTGCAGGTGGCACAGTTCATGTTTACCTACGAACAGCGACCGAGTCACGTGAGATGCTGAGCCCGGAGCCCCGGCAGCTGCGGCCTCCGTTCCTGCCTGGGGGGCTCTGTGTTCCTGACAAGCACACAAGAGGCGGTGAGCCAGAGAACGAGGACAGGCGAGGATGACGGCAGAAGCAGTGACCGCTGCGTGCTCGCCATGGCCACGAGACACGTGCTCACAGGACCTCGCGGGCAGTCTCACCCTGTGGCACCGACAGCGCACCGGCCACAGAGACGCCGACCCTGGGCCACCGTCCCACACGAGTGAGCGGGCAAGGAGCCAGGAATGCCGGGGGACAACAGGGGCTGTCAGGAGCGGTGCCAGTGCTGCCACCGGTGCGAGTCTTTCCCCATCAGCACGCGTTCGCCCCGCCTCAGGACTGCCAGGGCCCCGTGGCCCTCTGACTGGTCCTCTCTGTTCCCCGACTCCTCATCCTTACCACTCCCCCACAACATCCCCAAACGGGGGCATGACCACCTAGTGGGTTGCAGCCAGATGTTTTAGTAAATTAAATCAGAGCGGAGGCGAGTGGAAAACAGCCCAGAAGAAGCAGTTACACGGATGCGTGTGTTTCCTTTCTACACGCCAATCTGCACTAAGTTATAAGGTGGTTGTTTACCCTGGAGCACAGTCAAAAAGTCTGAATGTCTACCGCCCAGTCCTTGCACCAAATCTTACTGCTGTCTCACAGCACGGCATGAGAAACGGTGGTTATCGGAGTGAACGGCGCACGCAGGTGAGTGGACCTAGAGCGTGGAGTGAGGTCATTCTGTCAGTCAAGGCTCATTGCCGGGCTACTTATTTCCCAGGACTGGACAAACAGGGAAAGCTGGGAACCCCTGATGACGTGCAGAGCAAAGCGACACACACACACAAAGACATTGGGGGCGCGGCGGCCTTACCCCTGCGCCCGGGGTACACGTGAGGGTAGTACTCATAGTAGAGGTCCGGCTGGTCCAGGTTCCCAAAGGGCTCAAACTCCATCTCAGCGTTCTGGAAAAGGCCCAGCTTCACCAGAAGGGCCAGCCTCACAAACCAGAGCTAAAACGCGAAACAAAATGGACACAATGGGTTATCTGCACAGAGCAAGGCCAGACACTCCAATTCCCTCTGGATTTGGTATCAGCGCTGGATTTCAAATACATTAGAACAGGGGCTGAACTTTCTTCCTTTGCACATCTGCTATGTGCTTATGAAAACACTGGGGCTTAGTAATAACAACATGGATGGTTGACTATACTTCCTCAGCAGGGTGTGTGTGCACAGCACTCTGCAGGCCATTCTGACGCTAAAAATACCATATTTCCCCATGTGTAAGTCGCACCCATTTTCGAAAAATTTGGGGTCTAAAAACTGGGTGCGTCTTACACAGTGGTTGTAGATTTTTTTACTTGTATTTCCCGCTGAGGGCCAGTCAATATATGAAGACGTGATTCGTCATCAGACACAGATGAGGACAAGCTAATGGTTTTGAGTTTTGACAGTGATGAGGAGTTGTATGAACTTTATGATGAACAAAACTTGAGTTAAATAACTTTATGTAATACATTTTTTCCCCAAATTTCAGGCCCCAAAATTAAGGTGCATCTTATACATAGGAGCATCTTATACATGGGGAAATACGGTAGGTGCTCCCCTCCCCCAAGGAGAGCAGGGTCTGGGGGGGGAGGGGACGCAGAGAGGAATCCTGTACAGGAAGTGGGGGCCCAGGACAGGATGAAGGCCATAGTGCTCCAGGGCAGGACGCTGGGGGCTGGGGGTGGGGACCTGGGTGGGGGAGGCTCAGGACGTGGGCTCAGAGGGGAGTGCGATCCGGGAACAGTCAGCTCCCAGAGGCCAGGGCACAGCGCTTCTAGAAAATGATGGGAAGTCAAATGAGAGAGCCACAGTCAGGCACGTTGGGAATTAAAAGGTACCTTAGAAATGACCTCTCGATCTCATTTACCAATGAAAACAGTGAGGCTCAATAGAAGGGCCTGCTCCAGGTCACTCAGCAAGTCATCAAGTCAAAAGGCGGGTGCCCAACTGAGTGAAGGCCACAGCTGTCCCTCTCATTCGATGAGCTGCTGTTGGTTCACAGCTCTATTTTCGGCATTCCTTTTTTAATTGGAGAGCAACTGCTATCACTGTGCGGGGGACAGCACAAGCACCCCCGGGCACCACGCACTGCGAGTCACTGCCTCCTCCCAGGCCCCTCACGCCTGGCCCCCGGCCGGCATGGGAGTGGGGCGAGCTTCGGGGCCCCTGGGTCTCAGCGCAGAGGGAGAACACAGGTCACAGCACCATCATCAGGAAGGGAACCAGCGTCCTCTCACGCTGAGGTGACCTTTGGGACATGAAAAGCCATTCGGGGCTCTCAAATTGCTCTTACTGACGTGAAAGGTGACGGTCCCTTCCGTGCCCCCAAATCATGCTACACCAGAGGCAATTCGCCAAGCTCAGGGGCTCACCTGCAGTGAGTCTGCGGTGTGGCTGGTCGGCAGGCCGCTCTTGCCGTAGCCTTGGCCATGGGCTGTGAGAAGGCGCCCACACAGGTCCACTGCTGCCCTCCAGTTTTTGCAGCTCTGTAAGACACAGTGGGACACATGACCACACGCGGCCATGCGAGCACGCAGGAGATTGGCGGGCTGGACGCAACTCCATCGCCAGACAGCCGCCTGCACCGAGCAGAACGTCAGCTGCCAATCAGGCAGGGAAGGCAGCAAGCTCGGGACGCAGTTCGGGACGAGTGAGTCATCTGGACGTTAGAAGCGAGAAACTGAAGGGAGCAGGAGCAGGGCTCCTGCCGGAGAGCTCCCCACTGACCGGGCTGCGGCCGCTTTCCTTCGGAGCAAGATAACCCTGCCCTGTGATTCTGCCTATTTCAAATCAGTGACTGGATGCTGTGTGTTGGCTACATTCATGTGGTTCTGAGTTCTGCATGTGACTAGAGGCGGTTTTAGAGGTTTAACATGACTCTGTTGTACCAATAATCAATATGAAAAACTCAATGAAGCTCACAGGCCAGCCTGCCAACACAGCACATGTTCACGGCAGTTCACGGTGTAGCCCGCGCCCCGAAACGCTGGCTGAGGCTGACCTCGCAGCGCATCAGCCTGGACTGCCTGTGTCATCTTCGCCCTAACGCAATGAGGAAGGACGGCTACCAGGCAAATGCGCAAACCGCTGGGCGTGGGACGGGCAGGCTGTGACTCCTGGGCTGCCATGCTGCTGCCGGGGCAGGTGAGCGCTTCCTGCCTCCATGTCACTCTTCTCCAGCCCTTGTCCTTGTCCCATCAGAGGGCTTGGGGACACGGCTTGTTCACACGCGTTAAGCATGCAGGTGGGTGTCGGGTTTACTTCTCCAGCCTCCTCAGAGCATGGCTTTCAGGTTTCTGATGGCCCCTCACCCCCAGGTGACATGGATGTACAGGGCCAGGGGCTCTCTGCTAACAGGGAAACGGGGGCAGAGACAAGGCTAGCCTGAGCCCTCGTCCGGGGCGGCCTGCACAGCTCGGGCAGCTGGCTGGTGGGCTGGGAGGTGGTCTGCGGCCAGGTTGTACCGGCTGGCTCGCCCTTCCCGCACGAGGCGGAGGCGGAGTGCACTTCATCTGTGAGAACCGGGGCTCGGGGTTCCACGCGGCCTGGCCTGCTGTTCGAAACTATAATTACCGATTTGTTCAGAGTGTTTCCTGCTATTCTTATCTCACTGCTTTCTACCTTTTAGTTCCCCTGCGTGGTAGTCCTCCTCCATTTTCAATATTAGATGTCAGAAATGTTAAGTAAAAAAATTATTTTTAAAATTAGAATTTAAAGTATACCGCATAAAACTTTAACTCTGTGAAGGAAATCTTGAGAAGATCTTGTGATTGCTGTATATGGCGTGTACAACTACAACAATGACATTTACTTGATATGATAAAAAGATCTAAATTTAAGTAAACTTTACTTTTTTAAACGAGGAAATTAGAGAGATTCTATTTGAAAAACTGAACATGGGCATTCGACAACTTCCAAAAGATGAGAAAAACAGCCCAATAAAACCACTCAAGTAACTAACGTGCACGTAACTTCCCCCGTGTACACCTCAAAGGGAGGCACTACCTCTACCTGCGATGCCATTAAAGTGATTAAAACGTCCTTCTCCACAGCTATGACAGGCATGTCCCTGTAAATTAGTCTTAGAACACTCTGACGTTACTGAGGAAAATACATTTAGAAACTCGTTCCTAGTATTCAGGGAGACAGGAGCTGTCTCAGGACATAATTAAAATACCAGGCCAAGGTAACAACCTTTTCGCAAAGACATTTCCCACCTGAAACAGGCCTCCTCGTTAGGACCGTGAATAAAATCTCCACTGGTCTCAAGTATTTTCAACGTATGAAAACAACATCAAAAGCACTGCATATGTTTATCATGTCAACACTAGAAATAATCGCGGTAGAAAGACAGCCTGTGGAACAGAGTCATCACAATGGCTGTGTGCAGCTTTGTGTGTACTTTTAAAACTGATCATTGTACAGTCATACTTCACATACAGCCTACTATTCAGGACGATGTATTACAGCCGTTTTTTTGAGGCCAAATACAGGGAAAGACCTAAACGCCCCTCAGCAATACGAGAGAATTCACCTGAGCAGCTTTCACAGCCATGGAAATACTTACCTTTTGGGACCTGTAACTGCATTAGCGAATTTAAAGGGGACACATATTTAAAAATGAGCTGTTCTCGCTCCCTTTTAAAAATCAGAGTATCTCCGTAGCTTTCCTTCCCAAAGCTTCCCAGTCGTAGGGATAATTCTAGAATCACGTCGTAAAAGAAACTCAATGAAGCATTTGATTTACCGTATTTGCCGGCATATAAGACGACTGGGCGTATAAGACGACCCCCTAACATTTCCACTCAAAATATAGAGTTTGTTATATACTCGCCGTATAAGACTACCCCTTCTTCCGCACACCTTCCACACACCAAATAAAAGGTAAAACAATATCAGATTTGATTTCAACATTTATATTTATATTCAAATGCTTATGACATGCAGGAAAACTGTCACAAGGCTGTATGTAATCAAACATATACATAAATCGCGATTCGCGATTTTGCGCTATCATACTGGGTGTATGATCGGCTGTGTGCGATTTTGCGAGTGTGGTAAAATCGCATAACAGCAAAATCACATAACAGCCGAGCATACACCCAGCAGCGCTGCTGATGCCTGAACGGTATGTGGAATGAAGTGGGCGGGCATCGGGAGGCCACTATGGCACGGGGCAAGCACTATGGGCAGTCTATCTGAAGTGTACCTGGCGTATAAGACGACCCCCCACTTGGAGGCATATTTTTCAGGGCCAAAAAATCATCTTATACGCCGGCAAATACGGTACATTTATGAAAACTTAAACTGGAATGGTTTCCACGTAAAGGGTCTGCTCACCACCTAAGCAAGGGACTCTTACATACCTTTCTGAGGACAACACTCCTGCAAGGAGGTAACAGATGCTGAGAGAAAAGGCTAAGTGCAGACACGCAACTGCCAGGGGCTCGGGGACCGCCTGAAGCCACGGCTCTGCCCACATTAACCGCCTGCAGGCCTTCCCCACTAGCCTCCGCCTGGGCGTGCGCACAGCTCCCGTCCACGACAAAAGGAAGAATTCTGTGTACGTTTCTGCGAAACCCACCCGTTCAATACTAAGCCTTCTAAACCAAGTGGAGAAAACAGAGTACTCTAAAAAAAAAATCAACATAAAATGATTTGTCTCTAGCTATTATATTTGATGAAGCGTATTTAATCAAAGTATATGCCGCTTCAAGTAATTTGATCATTTAAAATAATGGCTTTTAAACTAATTGGACTTAAAATTAAAAGTATGTTAATATGTCTTTTGCTACACAGGACTGGTATCTAATCTAACAAAATTCTACTTATGTGCAAGGGCTTTGGATAATATGTTCAAAGTAATTAACTCGAGAAAATACTATGAAGGCAGGCAGGACGTATCAAAAACACAATACTGGAAATCAAACACACTGTTACTTACGATGAGCTGTTTCAGTCCCACGAAAGACTGCTCCACTGAGTTGGCGTTTAAGACCTGCCTCTTCGCCGCAGCCTTTTCACCCAGGAAGCGGAGCATTAAGTCTTTAACTGCATCTCCCTTGAAAGGATGCAAGAGAAATATGTCAGGACAATAAAGCGCTAATTAAACTCAGCTAACCAGAACGCACCGCGAGCCCAAACGTCCTTCTCTCACTCGGTGTATGGCGGCTGAAGCGTGGCGACGGCACGAACTTCAATTAACCAGACAAGCAGCCCACCTTCATGAGATACGTACTTTAGAACTGCTCTTTCTTTTGGGGAGGAGGGGGTAAAGCAGCGCCTGTGCCAGGCTAACACAGAGGCACACCGAGCGGGGGTGGGGTGGGGAGGCCCCTTGAGTGTGAGGTGACCCCACTGGGGACAGGAGCTGGTCCCTGGGAGGAGGAGCAGCAGGCCGGGCCGGGGCAGCACACAGCTCAGACCCCACAGTGCATCAGCGTGCCGGGGGATCCCGGGAGGACTGGGGGCACCTCCTTCCTGTGCTACCTTCCCTCCCGAGCCGGGGACACAGAGGCGTCCCTTCCCCTGCAGGTCCTCTCCAACCCTGCTGGCCAGGACAGGGCCCGCAAGCACCTCTGCAGGGAGGGGGAGCTGCTCCCTTCGAACCGCACCCCTCAGGCAGATGCCCCTGCAGACGGGGCTGCAGGACACCACAGGCTGGAATCCACTGTGTTATCTAACAGGGAGGCGAAGGGCGAGGGGCAGGGAGGAGGGGCTTCCGTTGGCGGGGAACCAGGCAGCAACCTCCTAAGCTGGCAGAGTGTGGTCTCAGAGAGCCCAGCACAGAGGCCAGCACTCAGGGCGCTCAGTGCGACGCCCCGGGGCTAAAGGGCAAAGGGCAAGAAGCTTGTCCAAGCTGGGGGCAGGGCCCAGACGCAGTGTGCTGAGGAAGCTGCAGACCCCAGGCCTCAGTGCTGCTTGGGGGCTGTGCCCAGGCTGAGGGCGGCACCGGAACACCCACGGGCGTGGGCGCAGGCGATGATGCAGTGGCCCGGGGCCCTGGGCAGAGCTGTGATGGGAGACAGCGCTGAGCCATCCCTCTCCCAGCAGGGGTGTCGCTGCCTGGGGAGGGCACTGGGGGGGGGGCAGCAGCTCTGAGGTCACTGAGAGCAGCCTGGCGTTCCCTGAGTGTCCCCACAGTTGCTGACGGAGGAGCACCGCATACAGGCCCCCCAGCACACAGGCCCCCCAGCACGCAGGCCCCCCAGCACGCAGGTCCCCCAGATCGCCCTGGTGAGCGGAGGGAGAAACAAAACTAGGCCAGCGGGGGAGGGGTGGGCACAAGGCCTGCTCACTGCTCAGTGAGCAAAACGCTGCCTTTCAGCCACAGGCCAGCAAATGCAAATACAGCAGGGGACAGCGGGTGACGACTGAGGACGGGGACAGAGGACTGCGACTGAGGACCAGAGGAAGTCAGACCCCACGGCTGTCCCAGAGCCTCTCCTGCTTTCCTACCTGCTGGGACGATAAGGGCGCAGAGTAGCTCCACTTACATGCAAGGTTAATCTTTCAGTATCGTCCAAAATGGTGACAGTGACACCACCAGGTAGACGAAGGGAGCAGGGGGCGCAAGAAGCTGCCTCAGTGGCCTGCTGCCACCCTTCAAAGGGAAGGTCACAGCCTGCGCGCACACCTAGGTCACACGTCTGGCTCTGGCCCTGGGCGCTAAGCTGAGCTCACACCTCGCACGGAACCAAGATCCAGACGCAGCAGTTTCACGACTGTTGCTTCCGGGGAGTCAGGTGAAGGACTCCAAACGCCAGAGCCACACAAGTGTCTGACTGGTCTAGGGGGGCTCGTTAAGGGCAGAATGAAGCAGCTCAGCACTCGGACCCATGGAGCCTCGCTCGAACAGCTCCGTGAGACTAAGGGCCCCACCTGGCCGGGGGGGGGTGGCACAGTCACCTTCACGCCACGCTGGGAGGACCAGGCTGACTCCCACCCCGCAATACTCTCCATCAGCCAGGCCACACTGCCAAACTCTTCTGCCCTCAAACATCTGTCAGCTAAAACTGACTCAGCAGAAGTTCCTGACATACAAGCACATGTCTGACTAACGAACATCTCATCTATGAAAGCCCAAAGATGTGACAGAATGTCTCCAATGGCCCTGACTCTTGTGCTGTCACCAGGCTGAAGCGAGTTACGGCCCAGGGGTCATGGCGTCCCTCCTGCAATCCTCCCAAGGGGACTAGAGTGAGGGGAGTGCGCCTCTCCCTGGGGATTTTCCGAGAGCCACTGCTGCAGCTGGAATGGACCAGGGCCCAGTGGGTTCCTTCAAACTGGCAAACCTTTAGCTCTTAGGTGAGGGCCTACTGCACACAGGGAACGTGGGGACAGCACGTGAGTGGGCCAGGATGCACCCGCAGTTCTTTTTTGATTCTGATGGACAAAGACACAGAGGACCCGCCCAGCCTCATGGGGTATGGGCTTTGCTGTCTGGGAAACCTGAAGACGCCTGGCCACGGGCAGCGGTCTGAGCCACAGCGGCGCCTGTCTCTGACCCAGGCTGCACTGCACCCTCTGCCACGGGTCCCAGGGAGAAACGCAGCTGCTCACTCTGGACGCTTCTATCCTCTCGCTCCAGGGTCTGCTTCTTCCCAGGGGAACTGGAACCACCTGAACAAACAACATGCAAACAAACCAAACCCCAAACTCGAGGACATGGAGAAAATGAAACACACAGAGCATTGGCAGGAGGTCAAACAGCGCGGCCATTCAGGAGACAGTCTGGGCGATTGCAGGCTGTTAAGCACACAGTTACTTTATAACTCAGCAATTCCACTCTGAGCTCTGCACCCAAGAGAAATGGAAACACCTGTGCAAAAACCGGTACACCATGTTCCTCACAGCATCTTTCACAACAGACAAAAAGTGAAGACAACTCAAATGCCCATCGGGTGATAAACGGATAATTATAGAATTTCTAAACAATGAAATATTATTTGATAAAGAAAAGGAATGCTGTACTGATACATGCTACCACATGGGTGGCTCTTGAAAATGTGTGTGAAAGACCACGCACTGGATGACCCCGTTTGTATGGAACGTGCAGAACAGGAGAACCCACAAAGACAGAAGCAGCTAGTGGTGGCCTGGAGCTGGGCGGGGTGGAGCTGGGGTCGGGGAGCTGGGAAGTGAATGTGAATGGGTTCGGGGCTTCTTTTTAGGGTGAGGAAAATGTTCTAAAAATTGACAATGGTGATGGTTGCACAATTCTGTCAAAATGCTAAAAACCATTGAATTGTAAGTTAAATGTGTGAATTGTATAGTATGGGAATTATATCCCAACAAAGCTATAAAAACAAAAAAAAATCTAAACCTCTTTTCTTGTGAGGCCCTAAACCAGCGGTTCTCAACCTGTGGGTCACGACCCCTTTGGGGGTCGAACGACCCTTTCACAGGGGTCGCCGGGTACTCATATGTGGGCGTATCTGCATGTGGGCCTGGAGACGGATAGAGGAGCGGTGTCTCGGTTCCTAAGACCATCGAAAATATGTGTTTTCCAATGGTCTTAGGCGACCCCTGTGAAAGGTTGAGAACCGCTGCCCTAAACAAACGAGAATTTACGAGAATGTGTTTACAGGTGGATCCGTTTTAGGACTGTTATGGGAAGGCTTGGCCGGGTCTCTCCGGGCCCCCCGTTCCAATGCCGTTATGCGCTCTTCACGTTAGCAGCTTAAGGGAGTGAGGAGAGGCCCGTCTGTGAGCAGCAGCCCTAACTCTTGTTTCTGTCCATCACAGAGCAACTGGGACTGGACCTTTGTCCTAATGTGAAAAACCAGATGAAAGAGCTGTTTTAGACACAGGAAAACTGCGGCCCGAGAGAGGGGAAGACGAGCTGAGCTCTGGGCCCAGGGCACCTTGTGGGTTTTACCCTGTGACACCACCCAGCCACTGGGGTATTTGGCGTTCTGGGCCCACCCACTCCCTGTCATGTGCTCACCCCAGCCCTGTGGCAACCAGAGTGAAACACCTCTGCACATTTCAAATGCGCCCTAGGACCCCTGGGCCCCAGCACCCGTTGCAACCACCTGGTCAAGTCATTCCATGGCAATCTTCAATGTCCCCCTGAATGACAACGGGGGGACGCTAACTGCAAACAGCTGAGCTTGGGTAGTAGGTGCTGAAGGCCAGACCCACGGATGCTACAGGAACTGACGCAGAGGACAAAGGCCCCAAGAAGGCAGGAAAGGGAAGAAAGTGAAGCAGACACTGAGGCCAGGCAGGGGGCCGGGGAAGGATTTAGTGAAAATGTACATCAAATCCCAAACACCCAATCTCCCCGGAAACCTGAATCCATAATGGGGACTCATTAAAAGGTCCTGCAAGGTAAAGGTAAACTTATGTTCCGTGTGCACTGCTTGAGAGGGAGAAGGTGCCTAGAGCGATGCCTGGGGCCTGAGTCACACTGCACGTGTCCGGTCAGTCCACGCTGGGGCCTGAGCCACACTGCACGTGTCCGGTCAGTCCACGCTGGGGCCTGAGCCACACTGCACGTGTCCGGTCAGTCCACGCTGGGCCTGAGCCCACGTGTGTGTGGGGGTAGATCCCATCCAGCGGGGGTAGGGCTGAGGACGGCAGGTCCCTTTTCAGCCCCAGGAGGACACGTGTGCGGAGGACACAAGGCCAGCACACTGGTAGAGTGGTGTCCCCACGCCACCCGGGACCTGCTGGGCCCCCCGCCGTCTGGGGCCGTGAACTACAACTGACATGTGTACACAGTTACACAATGTGACCTTCCTACGCACGCTACATGCATCTTATATCTGGTTTTCACATTTACCAGTGAAATACAAACCTCATTAACATTCTATTATAACCTCATTTTAAATACCTAAGTATTCCACTGTAAAGACGAGAGAAGTCAAATGTATTCAACCGGTCTCCTGAAAATAGGCTTTTAATTGTTTTAGATTGTTCGCAATTAGAAGCCACACCCCGATGGACATCCCCAAAGCTGGGTACCTGCACACCAACCAGTGCGATTACTTCGTCATAAATAATTCCCAGGAGTGGGACCTGGGTGCGGATTTTGAAACTTAAAGTTTGTACCAAAGTACGGGCCCATCAGGGTCGCCTGAGACAGGCTGCTTCCCCACATTCTAACAACACGGGATGCTAGGTGATCGAACATGGAAACAATATTATCATACTTGTGACACTGAACTTCCTTATTTAGTAAATATTACTGTTTACTATATGTAGCATTTATACATTGTTATGATTTCTTATTCTGGGGGGGCCATTCTTGTTTTTTTAATGAATCCTAAGAACGTTTTCTACATCGAGCACATTATGCATAATACAAATATTTTTCTCCAGATTTTAAAAAAAGGAATGGGGCCTTTATTATTTATTGGAGCCCGAATGTCACAAGTAAATCGATCGCACAAAGTCTAGAGCTACTGCAGAGGATTATGATGTAACTACTTGCCCTGCGGGATTTATTTCTAAGACTATGACTTGTTCCTTAAATACATCCTGGTAGGGACGTCAACAGGGCTCTAAATTACCTGGTGACATAACACAGACTCCCACAAGCAGAATCTTAGGAATTGCCAAGGAATAAGGTTTCCTAACACTTAAAGGGTGTGTATCTATAAGCATATTACAGAATGTGTACATAAATAACAGATGGAAAGAGCGACACGTGGATGCGGAATTACCTGCCTCGTTGAGGACAAACGCCTTGCGTCTCACCTGGATGTTGTCGAACTTGAGGCCAGGCATGGTGAGGTTCTCTTTGTCCACGAACACCGTGCTGTACTGTTGAGTTGCCACTGAAATCAGGACGGCCCTGGTCCCCTCCCCGGGAAGCCAGGCATCGCTCCTCCGGTCCATCTCACTCATGCTCAGGGCGGTGGCAAAGGGGTCCTCGGTCCCTGCGAACACGGCCTGGATCTGTGAAAATGGAGACTGAGGACATTCCAGGGGAGACGTGGAAACACCCAGTTCTGATCTTTCGATCCCTGGGGAGTAAGGAGATTCTGCAGAGCCCGGGGTGTTCTCTCCCGCCGGAGTACCAAGGGAAGACAGCTTTTCTGGAACTGAAGAGCTCGCGTTGGGATTACTGACGGAAATGAAAGTGGAAGTTGTGAATGAATCAAAGAAGTCTGAGGCCAAGGAACTGGTGTTGGCTGTGTCTCCAAAAAATTTACTCAGGCTGGGGCTTGGCTGGACCACCTGAGGGGTCTTGGGGGCCGGCTGGCTGACGCCGCTGAAACTAGGCGATTTCACCATCTGAGACTCGAAGCCATCCGGCAGAAAGAGGGGTGTCTGGGTGACGGCAGACTGGGGCTGGCTGAAGATGGTGCACACGGGGACAGGCTCCTCTCTGGGAGAGGGCTGCCGGGAGGACTGGGCAGGCCCCTGCTGCACTGGGGGAGCACCTGTGTCCCCAGGGCCCGCGTCCTCTGCACCTTCGCTCTCAAAGGCGGGCACGCCTTCTCCTTCTCGCTCTGGGCCTTCCTTCAGGGACGCTCTGCTGTCAGGGGTCATGTCGGAGAGGTCTTTCGGCGTCTCATCCCCATCGCTTTCACTGTCATAGCTCAGAGTGCCAACTACTCCGGTATCTATGACATTTTCCAGTCCACGGCCAGCACTGCCTTCCACAGGCGTGGTGACGTCCTGCAAACCCCCAAGGTCACCGGCATCATCCTCACTGTTATTGGGCGAGTCAGAAATGAGGACACTCTCCATCATGTGCTCATTAAGCTTATCCACGAAGTTAGAACATTCTGACACGGTCCCATTCCCCTCAGACCCAAAGTCGTCCCCACCGAGATCAATGGTTTCCTCGTGATAAAGCAGCTGCCCCTCTTCCGGCTGGGGCGTCTGCGGGGTGATGCTCTCGGTTCGCCCCTCGACCGGCTGGGGCTCCCCAGTCACGCTCTGCTCAGCGCCCTGAACATCCTCCATGGTCGCCTGAAACCAAGACAAATATAAACCAGCTCATTAGCTTTCCGCCTCGGTTACTGCGAACTGATTTTATCCTATTAAAAGTGTTTTTCATTTATAAAAATGGCGAATGCGTGTCATTATACATCTGTCTAATCCCACAGAACACACAACACTGAGAATGAGTCCTAATGTCAACTAGGGACTTTGCGTGACAATGACGTGTCAACGCAGGTTCCCGACTGTGACAAACGCGCTGGGGAGGGAGGCAGAAGGTCCATGGACAATGTCTGCACCTGCTGGCAATTCTGCAGCAAACCTAAACTGCTCTAAAAAATGACAGTCTATTTAACAAATGTTCATCAGTTCTGTAGTCAAATGATTCAATATTCAAGACTCCATCTCTCCAGAAACTTATTTATTATTGTGGTAAAAGACAGGTAACATCAACTCTACCATCGTAATCAGTTTTCAGCGTCCAGTTCAGCGGTATGAAGCCATGAAACACCATCCATCTCCAGAACTTTCCACCTTCCTAACCTGAAACTCAGTCCCCATTAAACACTGACTCGTCCCGCCCTCCCCGCAACCCCTGGCACCCACCACTCTACTTTATGGGCTTGTAAATTTAACTCTTCTAGGTGCCTCGTATAAGTGGAAACACATAGTATTTGTCCTTTTGTATCTGGCTTATTTCACTGAGCAAAATGTCCTCCACGTCCATCCATGTTGTGGCATATGTCAGAATTCCCTTACTTTTTAAGGCGGAAGAACATCCCACTGTAGGCATGTACATTTACTTATCCATGTATCTGTTGATGGACACTTAGGTTGCTTTCATCACTTGACTAGTGTGAACGCTGCTGCTGTGAGCAGAGTTCAAGTGTCTCTCCAAGCCCCTGCCTTCAGCTGTTCTGAGCATCTGCCAGGAGCGGGCTGCTGGGCCACGTGGAAATTCTACTTTTAATTTTTTTTTTTTAAAGATTTTTATTGGGGAATTGGGGGGATGGGAACAGTGCTGGGGAATTGGGGAAAGGGGAACCGACAAGTTGCTGTCGTTTTGTTCTTCAATCTAGTTGTGGAGGACGTTGCTTCACTGGCCCAAGTTGGCACCATCATTGCGCTCTTCTCTGGCGAGGCAGATCAGTCCGCCGGCTTCTGGACGGCCGCTCATTGCGGCTGCTGGCCGCTCACGCTGGCTGCTGGCCACACACGGTAGCCCATGGCAATCCACTGCCACAGGGACTGCAGCCCACGCCGTCGCCGGCGACTCACGGCAGCCCAGCTCCAGGTTGAGCTGTTGTTCAGCATCTTAGCTGTGGAGGGCAGTGTCACTGGCCCTCATATGTGGGATCCGAACCGGGGCCCTCTGGCATCCCAAGCGAGTTCTTAACCATCGCGCCACTCGGCCGGCCCTCTACTTTTAATTTTTGAGGACCCGCCAGACAGTTTTCCATGGCGGTCACACCTCTCACACCCCGACCAGCAGTGCACAGGGTTGCAGCGTCTCCGCATCCTCTCCAGCCTTGTTCTTCTGTCTGTGGGGACGCAGCCATCCCACCAGATATGAGGTCTCCAGTCTTTCAAACCCCACTTATTCTTTAAGACACGGATGAAATCCCCCCTCCTCCACGAAGCCTTCTCAAAAGCCTCCAACTTATAATAACCCCTCGCCTCTCTGAGCGTTAATGTCATTTGCTTAATTCTGGGGGTTTGGTACAGCAAGGTGGCATGAGTGTCAGAGACGGTGAGGAAACCAAGGCGCGTTCACTGGAGCGTGCCGACGGCTGTAGCCCAGACGACACCACGAGGTGCCACACTGGTGCTTACTGTGCACCTGGCAGTGGTCTAGGTGTGCTATGTGTTTTCTTCCTCCGTCCTCAGAATGACCCTATCACATGGCTGCTGTCGCTTCCTCCATGTTAGAGGTGAGGAAAGGGAAGCTTAGAGAGGTTGTATCACTTGCTCAAAATCATACGCCCGGTCAGTGAGAACCCAAGAGCACATCGAGCTGGAATGCTGGGTGGATGCTGGCTGGTGGGGGCCACAGAATGAAACCAGGAGTGAGGGCGAACTCTAAGAAAAAACTTTCTGTCCCTTTTCTTAAAGAACGTTTTTTAAGCAAAAGTTACCATATATACGTCTCCTCTCACAGCGAACAAATTCAAGTTAAGGAAGCTAAGACTATCATAAAAGATGAGGGTTTTTCCAGAAAAAAAACAAACCCAACCAATACCTTTTTGACTTTTAAAAATGATGCTTAGCTGATCTCTAGATAAGATACTTTTTTTCTCCCCGTCAACACTTTCATCGTAGTATTCCAAATGTCCTGTCCTTCCAGCTGGGTCACCCTGAGATCCAAAACTAAGATTATTTTAAAGTAGATAAAGTTAAACATTTTGGAGAAGTTTCCTATCCAGCACTGTCAGTTACTAATTCCTCATTGATTATATATTCATCTAGTAATTATTAACTATAAATTAGTTAAAAATACAATGAAAAGGAAGAAAAGCCCTTTTTCTTGTGATGTTTCACAGCGAGCCCAGACCGAAGGCTGCCCAGGGACCTCAGAGTGGGTGCACCCTCGCAGGTAAGGCTTTTCCCTGGGTTCTCCCTGTGCAGGAAATGGAGGCTGGGCACGAAGACCATGGAAAGCACAAGCATGCCTCCATCTAACCTCTGTGGCAGCTGAACCAGACACCTGCCAACTGCCTGACAGGTGAGGGCGCTGGGAAGCAGAGGGGTGATGGGACTCGTCTGAAAGCACTGTTCATAAATGAACCCGGCCCTCTGACTAAATCTCCGAGGACTGAAGTCCCCAACCCCTAGGGCATTGCCTGTAGCTACCGCTGGCTAACTGTTGGTTCTGAGCCCTTCTCAGGATAAAAGCACTTTAGATTATAACTCCAGCTCTCCCAGTACCACATTAATGGACAACTGTGGAATAATGGAGAAGAAAAGGTCCAATACATACAAATACAGCAAAGGTCAAGAACATCAGAATTGGTAAAACCACAGCAATGTCTTTATATGTAAGAAGAATGGAAAAAATCCTATTCTTAAAATAGGCAAAATTAACTGCCAGTAGAGGTTAATTTGTATGTATCACAAGATACAGAGAAAGACAGGCTGAAATGGGGGGCCTATGAAAGGCTGTCCAGGGCTGACGGGAGCTGCTTCCCCAGGACAGTGGACGCAGAGATGGCTCAGCACTGCGCAAGACCCATTCATTATGTGCTTGGAGAAGAACTGCTTCCGCGGTAATCAAAGAAGCCCAGATTAAAGCTATGATTTTTATAAGTAACTTTGGGGAACCTTATGTATTGATAGTGAGAATGTAACCTTTCTGAAGAACAGCTAGGCAAAGGATAAAACTCTTACACAGTAATTCTGTGTTTACCAATTTACCTAAAATGTTTTTAAAGAGATCATCTTTTGAAAAAAAGAAAGCTAAGTAAAAAGCAACAGTCTTTCAAGTCTTGAGTTTTTAACTATGTTTTGATTCTCTTCAGAAACCTTGTTTCTAATCCAATCTAATTTGGAAAAATCAACTTCTACATGTTTCCTGGTGATAATGTTTACACAGAGGCTGTCTAATCCAGAGGATAAATTACATTGTTATTCTGGATTTCTAAGTAGAAACCACATATTCATGAAAAACCATTGTCGTAGGACTGGACTGAAAAGTCCTGTAAACCAGGGACCAGGCCTCAACGAGTGCTACTGTGTCTCAGGCACTAGAGCAATGCAACCTCACTCTGCTCGCAAGGAGCCAAAGTTAGAGAATGACAGAGCGGAAAGGTAAGCACCTATCACACAGGTACGCCGAGTAGACGAGGGCAGTAGAAACACGACACACCAGATGAAAGGGTGACTGGGTAGAACGGGACAGTGACTTTGGATGCGAAGGGATAGCCTCTGAAAGCCACAGTTATGTTTTCTTACTTTTTTCACTAGAAGACCTTAGAAGGTTCTTGTTATTCTTCCCCTTATCTTCTAAAGGTACATTTTCTATAAATAATTTTTATTAAATATTGATTGGCTACAAAACAATATTTATAACCTGTGGCTAAGACAATATGCCCTAGGACCTTCAGAGGTAATAACCTAAAATTTGTCATACTCTCTTTTTCTTTAATTTCCACGTGTGTTTCCCCAAACATGTTACTTAAAATCTTCAGTTTTTGACTTTACTTCCCTCTCCACGTCTAACTTTGTAAGCGGTGTGAAGTTAGATTTCATTTGTCTTTGCTGGTAATGACGCTCTCCTGTGTGATGCTGCCACAACATACGATCTATTCTACCATTGAGGGGTATGTGAGGTGTTTTTAGGATTTTGATACTATTGATACAAACAGTTCTGTTATGAACATTCTTATACACGTATTCTGGTGTGCATGTGCAAATTTCTTCATGGTATTAAAACTATGTGTCGGGTCATTGAGAATACACTTGTTCACCTTCACTAGATAATGCCAAATTGCTTTACTAAGGAGTTGTGCCAATTTACACACTTAGTAGCAGTGTATAAGTATCCCTGTACACTTGATATTGTCAGACTTAGTTAATATCAGGAGTATATAAAAATTCCTACAAAGCAATAGGACAATAAATGATCCAAAAGAAATACAGGCCAAAGATTTAAACAGGCTGGGATACACACTTCACAAGCATGCGCCCTACAACTTCAACAGCCATACTTCTTGATTTTTCCAGGACAATTCCATTTTATACCCAAGGCCCCAGAGAAAGGAAATACCTCTTTCCACTCTCAAGAGTCCTACTGACACGATGTAAGGTCTCACTACCCATAACCTCCCCATCTAGGGCTAGACACACCGTATGTCATGGAGGAACTCCTGCATGTGGGCACTAAACCCCAAAATACCTCCCCCTCCCAAAGCCCCCACAATAAAAAAATCTGGAAACAACCAGTGCCCCCACACACAATAATCAGTAAATAGTGGCACATCCAAAACTGGCATACTAACCAGCAGTGAAAATGAATGAGCCATCTCATATCTAATGCAGCCACGTTTGAATCTCACAAATCTAATTTTGCACAAAGAACAAGTAGAAAATTAAACAGTATGATTCTCTACATGAAGCTCAAAACATAAAGTAAACAATATGTTTTACGAATACAAACATAAAAGCAAGAGGGAAGGAGGCTGGATGGGAAAGGGACACAGGAAGTTAAAGCCACTGGCACTGTATCTTCTGTGTATGTTACATGTAGTCTTTATATTTCAAAATTTAAAAATGGAAAAGCAGGGTGCCGGCCGAGTGGCTCAGCTGGTTAAGAGCGCGAGCTCTGAGCAACAGGACCGCTGGTTCGATTCCCACATGGGCCAGTGACGCTGCACCCGAGCTGAGCTGTCGCTGAGCTGCCAACAGGTGGCAGGATGGCTCAGCTGGTTTAACAACAAGGCTGCCTGTTCGATAGTGGGCTACGCCCACCCGCAACTAAGACTGAACTCGGCACCTTGAGCTGAGCTGCCGCTGGATGGCTCAGTGGATAGAGCGTGTGCTTTTTAACAACAAGGCTGCTGATTCGACTCCCGCATGGGATGCTGTCTACGCCCACCTGCAACTAAGACTGAACACAGCACCTTGAGCTTAGAGGCCACGAGCTGCCGACAGGCTGCCAGATGGTGACTGGCGCCCTCCACCACGGAAGATTGAATAACAACACTTGGCTGGTCCCCTCCCCAATTCCCCAACACTGTTCCCCTCCCTCAATCCCCCCCCCCAAAAAAAGTGGAAAAGCACACGTATCTGTTCTTGATTTGCGTACGGTAGAAATGTTTCCTCTTCCTAACGCTGCCTTCACCCTTTTTATTACACGACATGATTATACGCTTACGTCTATACTGAGAAAGGAAAGGGCGCCTCAGCCGCGGCTCCACCTGGACCAGCCGCGAGGGAGCACACACGAGTCCTAACCAAAGCCTCCCACGGGGCCCGCCACGGGTCCGCTCCAACAAGTCCAGTTAAAACGACAAATGACCGCAGAAGGCAGCGCCTGTTCTTCCTACGTCCTGGTACAAATGCAGAAGCACCGCGCACCCCTTCCCCAGAGCTCCCGGCGCCTCGGAGCCTTCTCTGCCCCCGACGGGCGCGGCCGTGACCCCGCGCCCCCCGCCTCGCCGTCCCCGGTCGGAGCTCTGTCTGCTTCAGGGCCCCCGGGACCGCGCTCGCCGCAGCCTCCGACGCGCCCAGGCAACCTCTCTTCTTCAACCGGCAGCGGCTCCGGGCCTTTCCACGGGCGGCGTCGAAGCCTGACCTTCCGTCCCGCTGAGCGCTCTGCGCACGGAGCTCACCTGATGCCTGGAAAACGTTCCGCGCTAACCGAGGACCCTGCGAGCGGAGACGTGAGCGCGAGGCGGGAGGCCCTGAGCACAGGTCGCGCACGGCCTGCGGGGAGGAGACCCGGGGGTCCCCCCCGCCCCGCCAAGCAGCCCCCCAAGGAAGGGAACTCTGGGGGGAGCGCCCGAGGGGCTGGGGCTGCGGGCCGGCGCAGCGGCGGTTGGGGCAGCCCGACCCTCCCTGCAGCCCGGGCCCCGAGCCTCACCTGCCGCCGCCCACGGGGGTTGGGGAAGGGGTGACTGGCGGCCGTGCCCAGGGTCCGGGAAGCCGGCGGAAGCCCGGAAGGGGACGACAGGACTCCGAGGCTTCTGCGCCTGCGTGCGCTGTTCTCGCGCATGCCCGATGCAGGAGCCGGAGGCCCGCCGGTCGCAGCCGGAAGCGCGGAGAGTTTCCGGTTCGTGCGGCAGGGGGCGGGGCCTGGGCCCCAGGTTGATGGTGGGCGGGGCCTGGGCCCCAGGTTGATGGTGGGGCGGGGCGGGACCGGCACTGAGAATGGAGGAGAAAATTACTGCGTTGTCAGAGGCTACACGCTAACCTGTGGCGGAGGGGCAGCTGGAGGAGAAATTAGGCTCTGTTTAGTCTGGGCCAAAGCACCCTAGAAACACTATTTTCTAGGATTTGTCTTTGTGCCTACCCATATTTTCAACTTGTCTTTCAGTGCATCTGTACTGGTTGTGTAATAACATTAACGATAAAAATAGAAATCATGGCAACAGTAGGTGGGTGGATTTTTTCCAGCAGTGTGAAGATAGATCCTGCATTCTCTCGGCTCCCCACAACTTAATCTCAGGAACAGGGACCCAGTGAAGATTATGTTCATGCCTGTGCCTCTGCTTCCTTGATTTCTGCTGGAATCACCCAGATCTCCTCATTAATTCAGCAAATGTTCATCCAGCCTTAACTCTGCCAGGCACAGTGTTAGGCGCTGGAATACAACTGGCCAAACCAGACCCCGCCATTTCTTTCTCAATGATTAAAAATTTCAAATTTAGTTTTAACATTAAATATTGTATATATTTAAGGTATACAATGTATAACATTGTGAAATGATTACCACAGTAGAACTAATTAACATAACCATCACCTCACTTGGTTACCATTTGTGTGTGTGTGTGTGTGTGTGTGTGGTGACTGTACTTGAGATCTACTTGGCAAATTTCAAGCATAGCATATATCATTAACTATAGCTACCATTTTGTAAATTAGGTCTCCAGAACTTATTTATTTTATGATTGAAAGTTTGTACCCTTCGATCTATACCTCTCCTTTCCCTCACCTCTCAGCTTTTGGTAACCAATATTGTACTGTGGATGAAAAGGGGCCATGTACTAAACCTGACCAGCTCAGGGGAGGCCACGATGGCAGGCCTTACAAACTCAGAGAACAAAATTAACCACATAGGATGGCCTGAACATAAAAATTCCTAACTAAAAGCAGGTCATGGCAGGTATTCACATCCTGGGTCCGTGCCTTCCTTGACAAAAGTCAGTCTTTACCTTAAGGGAGCCTATTGATTGTCTTTCTGCATCTAAGATAACATACCCTTGGCATGTCAGAGTGATCCCTTTTTCTGGACTCCTCAGGGCACAATCCACCACACCAGAGCATGAGACCACAGAACCCATCATTGTTATCTTGTTTCCCAAGTACCATCTCTATGTACTATAAATGTTAACTATACTGTATCCACCCATGTAAGAGAAGTGTTTCTCCTTTTTACTTTTTATCCAATCCCCCAAATTTCCCTGCTTTGCTTTCTCCCGCCCCCTTAATCTACCACTGGTGGATTTCATATAACCTTCCTTACTCCTCCTCCTTTGATGCTGCTGTATAAAATAAGCTGCAAAACTGCCATTCTCTGGAGAGTTTGTCTCAATCCGTTGAGATTTTGCTTCCTGGCAATTGTTGTTAGTTTGGCTCAAATTCTCCATAGGTTTGAACATTTCCTATGTCAAAGTGCTGTTATTAGGACTTCAACTTTCTTTTTAAGATTCCATATGTAAGTGGAATCATGCAGCATTTGTCTGTATCTGACTTATTTCAATTAGCACAATGTTCTCCAGGTTCATCCATGTTGTTGCAAATGACAGGATTTCCTTCTTTTTTAAAGGCTGAATAAGATTCCATTACATACGAGGTCAGACAATTAAGTTTGCAAACTCATCCTACAAAAAGTGCTTCACACCTCATTGCTGAATATCACTACAGTCACCTTTGAAGTGCTCCCCTTGGAAAGCTATGCACCAATGCCAGTGACTAGTCCACCCTTCAAAGCAATTTTGGAACTCTTTTTCTGGAATGGCCATCAGAGCTGTCATCGTATTACCCTTGATGTTCTGAATGTCATCAAAATGTCTTCCTTTCAATATTTCCTTTACCTTCGTGTAAAGAAATAAGTCACTGGGGGTCAGATCAGGTGAGTGGGGTGGGTGTTCCAATACAGTTACTTGTTTACTGGCTAAAAACTCCCTCACAGACAGTGCCATGTGAGCTGGTGCATTGTCGTGATGCAAGAGCCATAAATTATTGGTGGAAAGTTGAGGTCATCTAACTTTTTCACTCAGCCTTTTGAGCGATTCCAAAGGGTAAACTTGTTTCACTGTTTGTCTAGTTGGTACAAATTCATAATGAATAATCCCTCTGATATCAAAAAAGGTTAACAACACAGTTGCAACAAGTTCATGAATGTAATTGTTAGACCTCGTATATATGTATATATGTGTATGTATATGTATTGGGTCATTGGGAAAGTCATGAAGCATTTTTGCATTGAAAAACATAGAAAAATGTCATGACTTTCCCGACGACCCAATATATACATGTAGGTGGCCCTTGAACATGAGTTTGAGTGGTGTGGGTCCATTTATATAAGAATTTTTTTCAACAAAGACCTGTACTATTTTTTATCTGTTGGGGAGTCCATGGATGTGGAAGGCTGACTGTATGCATTGATCTATGCCATTTTGTATAAGGGACTTGGTCCTGGAACCAATGCCCTGTGGATACAGAGGGACAATTTAAGTTTTTGGGGAGTCAAAAGTTATATGTGGATTTTTGACTGAGAGGGGGTAAGCATCCCTAATCCCCACATTGTTCAAGGGTCAACTGTGTATATACTGGGGGTGCCAAAAAAATGTATACACATTTAAAGAGATGTATTACTTTTCAAAGTTGAATTGAATTACAGTAGCAATGTGTAGTATGACATTCGCTCAAAAGATGGCATTAATCAAATGAACGCTAGCGTCACCATGCCACAGGCAAGACAGTCAAAGAAAATGGCAGAAGCACGGTTGTCATTCGAGGAGCGCAAGACCATTTTGAAGTGGATTTGGAATTCGTTGTGGAAGTACAACGACAATGGAGGTGTAAGTATGCAACAAAACCTCCAACACGCCTAACAACTGCATGCATTTGTGGTAAGTTTGAGATGTATGGTACTGTGTGAACAAATTGAAACGGCAGGCGCAGTGATACAAGTGGATACTTTAGTCAATGTTGCTCAAGCAGTAGCCATAATAAGTGTCTGGATGCTCATGATAACCACTTTGAGCACCTCTTGTAATTGCAGAAGTCAAATGTGACTTGTATTCATCTTTTGTTATTGGTATATATATTTATTAAAGATTTTATTTGGGAATTGGGGGAGGGGAACAGACAAGTCCTTTTGTTCTTCAGCCTAGTTGTGGAGGACGTCACTTCACTGGCCCATGTTGGTATGGTGATCATTCCCGGCAGATCGGTCATTGGACAGCTGCTCATGGCAGCTCACGGCAGCTCATGCCGGCTGCCGGCCACTCACAGTAGCTCATGGCAGCCCACTGCAGCCGCACTGCAGCTTACGCCGTAGCCAGCGACTCACCACAGCCCAGCTCCAGGTAAAGCTGTTGTTCACCATCTTAGCTGTAGAGGGCGCAGCGTCACTGGCCCATGTGGGATTTGAACCGGCGGCCCTGCTGCTCAGAGCTCGCACTCCCAAGCCAACTCTTAGCCGATGAGCCACTCGGCTGGCCCATGTTATCAACATATATTATTACAATTTTAATACATTATTTTGACACTCTCTGTAGATATATGTGTATATCTCACATTTTCTTTATCCAGCTATCAGTGGGTATTTAGGTTGTTTCCATGTCTTGGCTAATGTAAGTGTTGCTGCAATGAACATGGGATGTAGATATCTCGAGATAAGAATATTTTTTCCTTCCGAGTGCAGAAGTCAGATTGCCTATTATATGGTAATTCTATTTTTAATATTTTGAGGAACCTCCGTACTATTTTCCATGGTGCCTGTACCAATTTACATCCCCAACAGTGTATGAAGAACAGTGTATGAGGGTTCCTTTTTCTCCAAACCCGCCAACACTTGTTACCTGACTTTTTGATAATAGCAATCCTAACAGGTGTGAGGAGATATCTCATTGTGGTCTTGATTTGCATTTCCCTGATGATTAGTGATGCTAAGCATCTTTTCATATACCTGTTCCAGACTCAGCCATTTGTCATCAAAATAGATTAAAGATAGAAAAGTTAATTAATCACATGGAGGAGAGATGTGTGGTCTTTGAAACCATTGGAACCCGGGTTAGAGGAGGTTCAGCTATGGCATTTTGGAATGCTATACAATGTGATGCCTGTCTGCCAAGGGTGTTAGGTAGACCGGTCTTCAAGGTCTGGGCTGGTCTGACTAAATGCTATTCTTGCTAAATGTTAAAACGTAGCATAGTATTTTGCAGCTCTAATTAACCAAACCCAGAGAAGTTCAGCGAACTGCAAAGAACTCAACATGTAATTAACCAAATAGTGGATATAAGCAATGGCTAAGCCTACCTTCAGGGAGACAGAGCTTTGGATGTGAATCCCGTCTACTTTACTTGCTGCAAGTAAAAACTAGCTAAAAACAACCACGTCTCATTCTTGAAGAGAACACTCCAAGTGGCAAACCCCTTGAGTTAGGTAACAAGGGCACTGCCTAATGTGAAAGCGAGTGCTTAGGGAGTACAGCCTAAGGGGGGTAACCTCTCCAGCATGACAGTCCTTGGTTATCCCCAGGGAAGCCTGGGCCTTCCCAGCAGATTCCCGTTCATTGTCAAATGATGGTCAAATCCTGCCAGCAGTGCCTGCCAGGTATCACTTACCACTCAGCATTGGCAATGCAGCAGTGCGATCCATTACCCATGCAACACATGGTGCTGGGCACCTCGAGGCATGAATTGGCATGGCCCCTGACTTTAAAGGTCCTGGGCAGAGCCTGAGTCTGACAGACCAGGCACTGATAACCTGGCCAAGTCTCTCCTGCTGCTCATTTCTACCTACCTACCCTATCACGATCATTTCGCAGCGGCTCATCTGTAAATTGG